AAAATTCCAGACTCCAAGATGGAGCGCACATCCTGCTGTGGTCCACACAGGATGGACACTTGGTTACCACTGAACCTTAAAGGCCCTCATCACTCCTGAAGGTGTGGAATAGTTTACTCCACCATTTGACATAGACTAGAATGTGCCATGAGAGAAACCTGGGGGACTCGTGATCAAGGGGAAGCTTTGATGGAAAAGAAACCTCAATAAATCACCAAGGGAGAATGAAAACTTCATGCTCTCTGATATTCATTTAACAAATATTTACCCAGTTCCTGCCCTGTGCCAGGTGCTGACACCAGCCCAGGAAGTCACGCTGAGAAGACGCCACCTTCGGCTGCGGGTAGCTAATGAACTAATCAGAAGAGTTCACGGTTTGTAAGGATTTAGACATCCCCTGCACTAACACCAGAATTAGACACTTCCAAGTTGATTGCTTGGAAGATGTCTTCAAAGAAATACAAATTGGGAAAATTCCCTTCTGCCAATTAGTAGTCTATATAAAGACATCTAAACCATGCCAAAAAAAATGTGATTTTGACCTTTTCAGAAAAGAGAAAAATGAGGGAGGACATCTTTTCTCTCCAGTTGCTCTTTAAAAAAAATCAAACGGCTAAGTTACTGAAAGAAATCATCTCTAATTAATAGCTCTCACATTTGGAATGTGTCACACTGCTAAGATGTTTACACAATTTTCTTCTCAAGCCCATTATGAAAAAGATACAGTTTTTCAAATAGATTTTCTATCTGTACTTACTGCCAAATGGTGCGCTTCCAGTGAATTCAGTAAGAGCTTAGAGCAAATATGGTAGTCTAAGGGTCCACTCTGTTTAGTCTCTACTAAATAAACACCCAAGGAAGTGACAGGTATCATGGAAACCATGATGAGTCAATGCACCTTGTCTATCTCCCAGCTGGACACAGCAGAGATCAAAATATGTCATTGAGCTGCACTTCCTGGCATATAAATATTTGTCCACCTAGGCCGTGTCTGGGTCCCAGATAAGTGAAATGAGTTACCTAAGGTCATGCAGCTAAGTGGCAGTAAAACCAAAGCTAAGTGCCCACCAGCGTTCCTTTAATGTCGTTATGCTCCTTCTGTTGTCCACAAAAAGATGAAACACGAGGTGTCTCTTAGTGCTTGAGAGAGCACAGTGCTCTAGAGTCAGGTTGCTTGGGTTCAGATCCCAGCTTTGCCATTTGCTAGCTGTGTGGCTTCAGGGAAGTTGATTAGTCTCTCTGTTCCTGTTTTGTTATCTGTAAAATAAAGATAATAATACTTGTCCCTTTTCCAAATGGTTGTTGAAGATAAAATAAATTAATAGATGGCACAGTGCTGGTCATGCAACAAAGGTGGCTTTTGTTTTGTGTTGTTTTGTTTTCCTCTGTGAGTATTTAGAGAGCACGGTGAATGCACCAGTGTTCAGTCAGGAGGCTGGTTCTGGCTGACACCGTCTGGTGTAAAAACATGGTGCTTGCATTCATTCTGCTAACAGAGTCCCCTTTGGAGAGCCGCAGTTCCAGGCTAATGGGCAGGAGTGTGGACGAGTGCTAGTACCTCTAAACTTTTTCTCCTCCTTGGCATACGTGGAAAAAGATATATTTGTCTTTCACATGGGGCTAAAGCAGACAAGGCTGCTTGAGGCTTCAGCCTCCTGGGTTCAATCCATTGGCTTTAATGACGGAAAGAGTAAATGGTTCAACCCACCTGCCGCCCTTCTGAGGCCCATGAGTTGGGAAGAAGCTCTGCCGAGAGGTGTGTCAGCCTCTCGCTGATGCGTTAGTTCTGAGTGGGAATATGGGGTTGTCCCTGTAACGAGGAGCCAGTTTGCCCCAACCAGGCTCCTCTGGAAGGTGTCTGGAGAATTTCTGTGCTGCTTGGTGGGCTACAGAGAAGCTGTTCCTCCCTCCGGGATCCTGCTGTGTATGAAGCTGCCATGTGCCTGGGTAGGTAACAGTCACTCTGCGTACAGGCAGCACATCAGTGTGTAGTGAGCAATCCAGAGAAGATGCCAGCAGTCGTCTGACCCACTTCCTGTTACCGGGAAGGAAACTGGGGCCCAGAGCGACTGTCCAAGGTTCCTCTCAAGGTTGGGGTAAAAGTAAGACTAGAACTCAGTCAACAACAACTCAGTGTGCTTTTTGCTGCCCCCTTGGGGAGGGTGGATACCTTAGGTGATGTTTCAGGTTGGAGAGACCCACCTGCCCCCAGAGGCCAAAGTCACACCTTCTTCTGCACATAATGTGGCACTGTCCTGGAGGCACAGCCTCTGGGAGGCAGCCAGGGTGGACCAGGGACCCAGCTCATGGGACAATGTGGGGGGACAGCCAGCTCGGTTTCTTCTGGAATGTCTGCTCCATTTGCAGCAGAAGCCTTCTCCATCCTTCCCCCCATGCCCTGAGCACCAGGCCTGCAAGCACCACTTGCAGGGCTTCCCCTGCAAACCCTGCTTACACTGCTCTAGAAAAGGTCCCAGAAGGCTCCTCACCTCACTCAGTCCACTGGCTTATCCAGGCCCAGCCCTGTTGCAGAAAGGGATTGGAGTCTCTCTCCACCAGTCTGTCCTCTGCACAGCATGCAAAATGAACTTTCTAAACTGTAACCCCAGTCATGCCATGTCCTTGCTTAAGCCCTTTCCCAGGGCCTTGTTACTCTCCAGAAAACCCAGCACAAGTAATCTTTCTCAACTGGCATCAGCTTGGCTTCTTAGCCTCACCTCCTGCTACTTCATCCTCACTCCTGTTCCCCCTGGCACTTTGCTCATTCAACCGCCATTCCTGTGCTCATACTAGTTTGTACACCTACAATAGCCATTTCTACTTTTTCACTTGAAAAAGTTCCACAAAACAAATAGAAAAACAATAGCAAAATAACATACCTCTGCTGATTCAGAGTCATCTGAGTTATAAATGCAAGCAATCCAACCATGTCAAGCAAAAGTAAATGACTAAATAAATAACAGGAAAAAAATTACTGGACTGTATCATTGAAAAGTTCAGTGGTACATGCAGCTTCAGGTGTGGCTGGAACCAGAGGTTCAAATGATATCATAAGGGATTTTTCTCTCTTTCTGTCGACTTGTAATCTCTGCTCATCTTGTCACCTCACCTCATCTTGTCTTTCTTTTGTGCATTGGCCTCATTCTCACACATACATCTTTGTGACCAAGCAGTATGGTCACAACTAGCCTCAACTTAGAGCCAGAGCCAAATTATTCATTAGCACAGTAGGTATGGTACCTCAGGCACACAATGCTTTTAGGGGCTCACAAAAATGTTTAAATTTCTTTTAAACTCAGAAATAAAAATGAACTTTTAGTAAAATAGTTTAATTTACTGTGTGGTATTAATTTTTATACAAATGCAATCATAAAGAATAACTTTTAATTTTCTTATAGAGAGTGATAAAGGTATAGGTACTCACTTCGGGCACACAAAAGTCACAGTACGGCCCTGCTTCACTCTCAAAAGGGAAGAGAAACCCTTCCTTTCAGTTTCCATGTGATAAACCTCAGGGTAAACTCTGCTGGTCCCTGATTGGATAATATCCCACAACACATCACCCTACACAAATGGATGGAGAACTTTGAATGGCCAGGCTTCTGTCTCAGGCCCACCCCAAAGGGAAAGTATCAACCTCATACAAACACAGGCATGGGGTTTCCCATAAGAAAAAGGATTCTGTTTCAAGAATGGTTAATAGTTATCAACGCGTAACTGTCTCACCAGAATGCTCCCCTCCTTATGACACGTTCTCCTACACCCTCACTAACCCTCGGAGAATCAGTCACCTCCACCTCCGTAACTGACTGAATCATAGTGTTTCCTACACTGAGGTGTGAGCTTCTTGAAGACAGGAGGAGTAGGCAATAGAATTGGGGTCCACAGGAACGAGCAGAGAGTGTGTTTAGCTCTGCCTGGGCTGTGAGCGGGAGACCTTCCATCTGGTCCTTAAAGGCAGGAAGTCTTCCTGGAGGAAGGGGTGTTTTAGCTGGGCCGAGAAATGAGGAAGGACTCCAAGAGACAGAGGTAAAAGGCACCAGGATGGGAAGGAAGTGGGCTGCAGAGGAGAACGTAGCAGGAGATAAGCTGAGAAGAGACTGGGACAAGATCATGGGGGACCGTGAGTGACACACAGATGAATTTGGGACCTTACCCTGCAATCCAAGGCTCTTAATCTCAGTCCACAGAGGACTGTAGAGAGCCTGAAATTGAGTGTGAAATGCTGCATCTTGGGGCCTTTTTCTGCAAGGAAGCTCCATGGCTTTTATCAGACTTCCAGAAAGGGTCTCTGTCTTAAATGCTTGAGTATGGACAGGTGTGTCCATACTCAATGCTAGTAATGGACAGGTGTGCAAGCACCTGGAGTGAGAAGTGCCACAAACAGGATCAGAATGGAATGCTCTAGAACACAGAACCACTCTGGTTACTCGTGCATGGAAGGTGGGCTAACAGCGCAGAGCAGGGAGAGCTGTTAGGAATCTGTCTGAGGCGTCAAAGCGGGAGGTGACGTGAACTTCAAATAAGGCAGTATTGGTTTAAAAAATAAATGAGAGGAATAATTGGAATTCAAAGGTGTCCCAGCAGTGGCATGAACAGGGGCTTTCTGCGTGGGGGAGCTGATGGCGTGGAAGGGGAAGTAACTCTAAGACTTCCGGTTCATTATGATCTTGTCACAGGATGGTTAACAAATTATTTTTATTATTGCTTTTCATTTCCTCCTTCCTGTTTAGAGAACGTCTTTTTTAACAGAAGTTATTTAATTTCAAAGTTAAGAATGCTTTAAGGCTGAAGGTCTCTGATGTATATAAATTTCCACTTTCTGCCTTTCCTTTGAGTGCAATGCTACCCTTCCATCTTGTTCTACCATTAACCCCGTGGATCTATTTGCTGAACCGATTTCTCTCAGTTTTTCATGCTCTGAGAACATCTTTTAAAGTACGCACAGGAATATCAAGGCCTTTTGCTCTTCTAAATCCTGACTTTGACGCCCTCCACAGCTACCCGCTCCCTTCCCCAGGGCTCAGCAGCTCAGACCGGCTGCCTTTCAGCATCGAGGAGAACGGGGGCACGCCATTCACTACCAAAGCTTCGGGAAGGCACCACCACCACCACCATCACCACCAGCACCAGCACCAGCATCACCCCAACTATGGCCTCTCGCTGACCCTGGAGAACAAGGAGGGGCCTTTGAGGTCCCCAAACTCCAGCACTAAATCGCTTACAAGTGAGTAGAGCTCAGGAGCCCAGGGAGGGTAGGGCAAGGGAAGCTACAGGGCATGGCAGACATCCCTACATTCTCCAGACAGACGCTTCAAGTGCAGCACAGGACAGACAGTTCAAGTGCCACACAGGCCGTTGGTTATGGCACTGCTGGGTTCCCAGGTCTGGGCAGGAGCAGACAAAAGCCTTGAGCACTTAGGTAGGAACAACTTAGGGAGCCCGATTTACCAGTAAACTCTGATTTCATTGCGAGGTGGCAGTCCTCTCCCCACCTCCTCATTCCTTAGCAGACCCCGCACTGGCTCAGAGCGATGGGCGACAGAAGGAGGGGAGTGAGGTGGCCAGAATCTCTGCTTTCCTGCTTTCAGGAGAACCCACTCTATCCCCTGTCCGACATCCCTCTTCTGAGAGCAAGGTGACCTCAAGTGGACCCCAAGTGTAGTGACAGGTCCCCGCGAGAGAGGTTACAGAGATGCCGACAAAGCAATTAGAAACATCCTTAGCGATATCTGTTAAAACTAAAACAAAGTAGGCTTGGATGTTGTGTGTGTGTCTGTATTTTATTTTTCTAGAAATTCGCTTTTTTTTCTATTTCACCCAAGACTTGGTCTGTGACAGCCGGGCTGGGAAGAACTGATCCTTTATCATATGTGCTTTGAAAAGGCACTGAGGTGGAGGCAGGAGCCAAGAGGCCGAGATTCTTATCCTCACTGTTGAGTCAAATGCCCTTCTTGGATCCTCAGTGTTCTCATCTGGGAAGTCAGGTAGAGGGTGTCCAGATGGATGGCCAAGGAACCTTCCAGCGCTGACATTTCACGAGTCTGTGAGCTGGTGAAAAGAAAGAGCCTTTGTGCCTTCTTCCTCTGACCACAGGAAACAATTCTGGAGTGGCCGAGCTGGAAATGGGACCTCGTTGTCCCCTTGGTGACGAAGAATCAGATCTCTGCCCGCCCCCATCACTAGTCACACTGCCCTTGCCCCAGCCTGTGGCTGATCTGTTGGTAGCTGGGTAACTGCACCAGCCCCCAAAGGGCGCCTCCAGCGTAGTCTCCGAATCATAGCTACCAGCGCGAGAGCTCTCACCAGGGAGCTCTGACCAGATGCCTTGAGACCCTCCTACAGTTCTTTGCTGTCCTGGGATAAAGCCCACACTTCCAAGCACAGCCACACAGACCTTCACAGCCTGGCCCCTGCCAAGGCCTCCAGTCTTCCCCCGACTCCTCACTATGCTCCAGCCGCGGGGAACTACGCCTCTCACCAAACACTGTGCTGTGTCCCAGCTCTGTTCTTTACACCTGCTGTTCCCACCACCTGAAATACACTTCTCCACCCTAGCAAACCCCTACACATCCTTCAGGAACCAGCTCGGGTGTTGTCAGCGAAAGGGGCTCTAACATCTGTCTCCGATTCCCAGCTTTAGAGTACCTTCCCTCTCACTCCCATAGCAACTAGATAAGCCTTTGTCACTCTTCTTTGGCGTGATCTGCACATGTGTCTCTCATTCACCTCTTCATTCCAGCTCCCCAGATCCCAATTGCAAACGATTCTTGGCACAAGTTTTAGTATATAATGAGTGTTGAATATTTAACGTCTTAGTGGGTAAAGACTAGCTAGTGGGAGGAGTGGTGGTGAACGAATCCAAAGCAGCACAGAAATGGAAATCAAAATGAATTTCACTTTGGAATTACACCTTCGTTTTCAAGGGCACATTCATAGGCCTGTTAGCCTGAACACTAATCTTTCCAATTTGCATCACGCTTTACCATTAATAAAGCAGTTGTACATGAAGGACCTTGTTTTTTTATTCACAACAATGCTGCAAGGTAAATAATTTTATTTTCAATTAAACACGGCTCAGCAGCTCAGAGAAGTAGAGTGATTCACCCAAGGCCACCCACCCAGCTCATCTGGGAGGGAGTTAGGCACACCCGCTAGTGTGTACTCAAGAGATTCAAGCTGCCAGGGAAGGAGGCAAGCAGAAAATGTGCTGGCGGCCAGCCTCTGACAAGCGTCATTTACCACCTATATCCCTCGGGCCTTTCGACCTTTCCTTATTCATCCCCCTTGTCTCTTGCAGAACTGACTCCGGGAGCACCTGCCCTGTTCAGTGAGACAGCCACCCATCTAAAGAAGCTGGAACTGGAGACTGTGAAGGCCGCTGGACCCTGGCCTGCTCTGCACATCAACATAAATAAGGTGCTGTGGGCCGGAGCTGGGCGATGAGCGTGGCCTGGGCTCACTGCAGACTGCTGAGTATTACCCTGGCCTGCCTCCTAACCCTGTGCCTTGGTCTTGGAGGGGTTTCTACTCAATCCTTTCTGATGTTTCTGCCCAATGTGACTTAGTTCTGGAGGCTGGGAAGTCCAAGATCAAGGTGCTAGCTGGTTTGGTTCCCTGGTGAGGGCTTACTTCCTGGTTTGCAGAGGGCTACCTTCTTGCTGTGTCCCCACTTTCCAGGACAGAATACTCTTTCTCTCTTCCTCTTTTTACAAAGCCACTCATCCCATCATGAGGTCCCCACCTCATGACCTCATCTAAGTGTAATTGCTCCCCAAAGGCCTCATCTCTACCTACCATTCATTACCTTGGGGGTCAGGGCTTCTACATAGGAGTTTTTGTGGGGTGGGCACAGTTCAGTCCGCAGCACTTCCTGTCTCTCTCTGACTGGTATTCAGTAACTATTTGCTGATGGAAGGAAGGAGAGGGTGGAAGGAGGGAGGGAGGTGCAGGGCAGAGCCAGGCTCTCTGTTGGCTAGATCTGTTCTCATCCAAATGGAGAGCCTCATAAAAGTCAAGTTTTATCTTAGAACTGCAGAACGTTGGTGCTGGATTTGGCCAGTCATTTAGTTCAACCTTCTCAACAGTAGACCAGAGGAAGGGAAATTGCTTTCTCCAGGTGACACAGTGGGGACTGAATCTGGGCAGCCCTGACGCCTGTGCCTGTGCCCTTTGTTCTCCACCGTGGTCTTTGTTTTCTCCTCCAGGTTTCTCAGTTTCAGTGCTGGTGACATTTGGGGCTGCTAATTCTTTGTTGTGGGGGGGCTGTCCTGTATATTGTAGGATGTTTGCAGCATCCCTGACCTTGACCCTACCAGATGCCAATACCACCCCTATCCAAGTGTAAAAACTAAAGTGTCTCCAGACAGTGCCAAATGACCCTGAAAAGGCAAAATTGCCCCTGTTTGAGAGCCGCTGTTGTGAACATATTTTAACTTTTAAAGTCCCCAAAGGAACAGCCTTTTTCACTCCCCAGTCATTTCTTCTGCTCTAATGCTTAGCTTTGCTCTTTACAAGAGGGAATAGGAAGAATTGGGAGGATCTGGCCTTATCAACTTCTCCTCCTTTCCTTTGCTGGGAACCGTGGGAGTGTCATACCTCCCACTAGGGCCGTTCCTCCACCCTAGCCCACCCTCTAGTCCGCAGCAGACTTCCAGAGCTTCTCGGAAGACCCTCACTCCCTTGCACTCCTCTCCCCTGCCGAAAGTCCTTTCGATCCTTAATGGGACCCCAACTTCAAAGCCCCCCTCGCCTACTTTTCTTTTATAGAAAGGAAGGGTCTTTTCTCCCCTCCCTGAGGGCCAGCTGGAAAGAATTCCCCCTGCAGAATGGCACTTACTCATTCAATCAACAACTTTTTGTTGAGCAGGCCCGTACCAGGCACTGGAGAGTCAACCCAGCACATCATGTGCCCTCCTAGACTTGTCTTTCTCCATCTCTTTCCACTCTTCTAATGCAATAAACACAGTCAACATTTTAACCGAGGTTTACCCAGAGTTTGACAGAATCCAAGCACATTTGGTGAGGAAGTATAGCATCTAATACCAGAGAATCAGAAGCTGTATGTGATTTGCAGTCGCCATGAGTATTGGTGGGATGTGGACAACAGTGGCTTGCTCTGGGCTGAGGCGAAGCTGAGACAGCTGTGAGTTATTAAGCATCTCCCTGGAGCTTAAACTATAATGTTCCTCTTTTCTCTTCCACTTGAAGAAATGTATCAGTAAGCAAGTACTAGGCTAGAGTGATATGGGATAACCTTGACTTTGGCCTTGCACAGATATACTACTGGCCCTGCAAAGTATATTACTTCACACTGTAATTTTTTATCATTAATAAAACATTCCTTGGAACAGACTTCCTTACTGATCATGATACCACAATTGGGACCAGTGTCTTCGATGACCCTTAAGGGTTTTTTCCAGCCTCACGAATGAAGAATCTACTGATTCTTTTAAGTACCTATTTTTTTTCTTTCTTTCTTTTTTAATTTTTTAAATATATTTTATTAATTATGCCATTACAGTTGTCCCATTCCCCCCTTCATTCCCCTCCACCCTGCATACCCACTCCCCCATCATCCCCCCCTTTAGTTTATGACCACGTGTCTCAAGTTCTTTAGATTCTATATTTCCCATACTATTCTTGCCCCCCCATCTATTTTCTACCTACCATCTATGCTACTTATTTTCTGTACCTTCTCCCCCCCTTCTCCTCCTCCCACTCCCCTGTTGCTAACCCTCCAGGTGATCTTCATTTCTATGGTTCTGCTCCTGATCTAGCTGTCCTCTTAGTTTGCTTTTGTTTCAGGTGTGGTTGTTAATAACTGTGAGTTTGCTGTCCTTTCACTGTTCATATTTTTTATCTTATTTTTCTTAGGTAAGTTCCTTTAACATTTCATATAATAAGGGCTTGGTGATGATGAACTCCTTGAATTTGATCTTATCTGAGAAGCACTTTATCTGTCCTTCCATTCTAAATGAAAGCTTTGCTGGATAGAGCAATCTTGGTTGTAGGTCTTTGGATTTCATGACTTGGAATACCTCTTTCCAGCCCCTTCTTGACTGTAAGGTCTCTTTTGAGAAATCAGCTGACAGTCTGATGGGAACTCCTTTGTAGGTGACTGTCCCCTTATCTCTTGCTGCTTCTAGAATTCTCTCCTTCATTTTAATCTTGGCTAATGTAATGATGATGTGCCTTGGTGTGTTCCTCCTTGGGTCCAACTTCTTTGGGACTCTGAGCTTCCTGGATTTCCTGGAAGTCTATTTCCTTTGCCAGACTGGGGAAGTTCTCCTTTATTATTTGTTCAGATAAGTGTTCCACTTGTGGCTGTTCCTCTTCCCCTTCTGGTACCCCTATAATTCTGATGTTGGAACGTTTAAAGATGTCCTGAAGGTTTCTAAGTCCCTCCTCATTTTTCTGAATTCTTGTTTCTTCATCCTTTTCTGTTGGGTCCTTTTTTTCCTCCTTCTAGTCCACTCCCTTGATTTGAGTCCCAGTTTCCTTTCCATTACTATTGGTTTCCTGTGCATTTCCCTTCATTTCAATTAGTTTAGCCTTCATATGTTCCTCTAATTTGTGACTAAAATCAACCAGTTCTGTGAGCATCCTGATCACCAATGTTTTGAACTGTGCATCTGAAAGTTTGGCTGTTTCTTCATTGCTTAGATTTATTGGCTCTGGGGCTCTGAGTTCTTCTTGAGCCATGTTTTGATCTGTTTGTGCCTGTTACATATAAGGAGCAGAGCCTTAGATGTTCACAAGGACAGGGCCACCCAGGTCGCTGTTTTGTGATGCTGTAGGTGGAGGCAGGGTCAGAGAGCGACAATGGCGATTTCTTCTGCCGCTTCCTGCTGCTGGGGCCTGTGTGGTCCCACTACTCGCTCCTTCACCGGTTTATCTGCGCTCGAATGTGTGACTGCGATCAGCCCTCAGTGGGTCCACCGCCTTGCGCCCTTAGTGGTTCTCCCCGCTTCTCCACACCTGGGACCCGCCCATGGCTGCTGTGCCCGTGTTGGTCCGGTGGATCTTTTCTGCCCAACCCCGCTCTGCTGCTGGCTCTGCCCCTCTTACTGGTTTGGCTGAAGGGTTCGTTGTTGTCAGACTTCTGTGTAGTTCAATTTTCTGTGGTTTGGCTGCATTTTTGTTGCTAAAACTTTGTTGTTTTTAAACTTGGTTGTGTGAGAAGACGCAGGGCTTCCACCTATGCCTCCATCTTAGCGGAAGTCTTAAGTACCTATTCTTGATTTAATAGTGAGAAGACATCTTCATTTCCCAGTTCCAAAGCAGTACCCAAAATTATCACAAGGATTTAAATCTCATCAGAGTTCAAATGTGTAAACAATTTGTATCAACAATTTAAAAATGCATTTGATCATTTCTCTGTCCCCATGCACCATCCCCAAATAATCACTGGACCATTTCCAGTGATAAGCCTCAGTATGTTTTAAAATCTGTATTTCCATGTGGAACAAGAAAGCATCTTTTCACAATTCAAACTGAACGTAAAACAGACTGTGGCCCTGCAACAGAAAGCTCAGCATTCTCAGAGCCATCCTCCAGGCCAGAATGGGGGTCTCCTTGTCATGTAGACGGTTCTCGCCCCTGAGGATGCCTTTTATGCAAACACACTCACATGATACTCACATTTTCCAAAATTTAGATTGACTTCCACCCGAGTCAAATCAGAGAGCTAAACAGGAGGTCTCCCTTTGTCCAGATCAAACAGGAGCAAGCCAGCTTGAATTTTATGTCTAAAAAGCAGTTTAAAGTTACTAAATTCAAGGGGGAAATCAATTGAACTATCAGTCTTTTCTTAATTTAACAGCATTTAGTTTTTTAAAAGCAGGTCTTTGGTCATGACTGTGAGTATAACTGGATTCCCTTAGGAATTCAGGTCAAAAACCTCAAATGGGCTTTGCAAAGCATTTAATTTTTACATTCCAGCATATCATTCACCAAAGTATATCCGATCTTAAAATTAATTCTTCAGACACTGGGGAAAACACCCATTCTGGTAGTAAACAATTAATCTAAGAGGATTTAGAAAAACAAGGCAAATTATCCTAAACCTGTACTATAAACCTCATCTTTCAAAATAAGTAAGTTTCTTATTTCCCTTTGGAAACTTCTAAATCTCCTAAGATAATGATTCCAGTCCAGTGAGTCAGTTTTCTTCACACCCAACTCGATGGCTTAAGATCATTCGTGTCCTCATGTCTGATGTTCTTTCTCAGTTACATATAATCTTTCCTCACCAAAGAATCTAACATGAAAGCATCATTCATATCTTACTTTCTCATTTGATCATCATCACAGTCTTGTGCAGAAAGAAACTGAGACTCAGCAAGGTTGAGGGGAGCCAGTGCAGCTGCATGGTCAGGGCTCCAGCTTCAGACTCGCCCAGTCCTGGGCGTGAATCTCAGCTCTTCTTTGAACTTCCAATGTGACCTTGGGCAAGTGACTTACTATCTCTGTGCTTTGTTCTTCTCATCCATAAAATGGGAACAGTGATGGTATCTCCCTCTGAACCGAATGCAGTACAAAGGAGATGCTAGGTCAGTGTCTTGCCCATAATAAGGGGTCACAATTATGAGCTACTAGCATTATTGTTCTCTTTGTCATCATCACCTTGTTTTTTATCGTGCTAGTCTGGGAAAGAGCTGAGATTCAAATCCAGGTCTTCTGTCTCTGCTGATCTTGCTGTTACATGCAATTGCTGAGTTCTGCCTTAGTTGACCAGATGCCCCTCTGTGCATTTGAAGGGTCTGCTGAGTCTCTAACCCACAGGTGGCAGACACAAGGCCCGTGGGCTGAGTCCAGCCCTTTACCATGTTTCATTTGGCCCGGCATCTTGTTTCTACCCGGTGACAGTGCCAAGCTCTTGCTTAACTGTTAAGGAGTAGTTACATTTATACAATCCTAAAATTACATTCAGCCCTTTGAAGGCAACGGTGAGGATGATGTGGCCCCCGGTGAAAATGAGTTTGACACCCCTGCTGTATTCTATGCCCTCTTTTCTTTATTGAATGATGTCAACCAACCAATTGCCTGATAATTCCTCCTGGGCTTTCATAATGCTCCTGCGATAGAGAGCGGTGTGCTCTGTAGGGCTTTTGAGTGAGTGCATGAGATTAATTTGGGAACCTGCAGAATTTGAGGGCCTGTAGATCATTTCTGTTCTTGCCCTGGTACATTGTGGCTGATATACTGCATTTAGTCCTGATAGCACGAAACTGACTTTTAGCAATCGTATTGCCTTGTGTCTTTCATATTAAATGCACGTCTTCTAGCCCTGGCCACGTGACTCTGTTGACTGGAGCATCGTTCCACGTCCCAAAAGGCTGAGAGTTTGTCTTTGCCTCCCCTGCCCCTGCCCTGGTCAGGGCACATACCTACGATGTAGTTCAATCCCCAACCAGGGCACATTTGGGGGCCACCAATTTATGTTTTTCTCTCTCTCTCTCTCCTTCCCTTCTTCCCTCTCTAAAATCAATAAGCATGTCCTCAGGTAAGGATTTAAATAAATAAATGCATAAATACATAGATAAACAAAATACATCTCTCTAGTGATAACTATGTATCATTATCATCTGCATTGGCTGTTTACTGAGCGCACACTGTGTGCCCGTGGAATAAGCAATGACCACAGTAGGCAGGTTAACAATAAGCCATTATTTCCCTGAGTGTGATATGAGTGCCATCCAAGATGATTTCGGGTTATAGACACAGATGAGTATTTTTAATAGTTATGTACCTATCATAATGTATATAATAATACAAATAATAGTCACCAGCCTCTGATTTCCGATATTATTGCTCAGGGCACACTTAAAATAGGTAGCTGCAGGGCAATCCACCTTAACTGGATCGTATGGCAAAAATCGTAAACTGGGGAAGTCTGGGACAGTGAGGCAGCATAGATACAAATTTCTCACTGAGAATCTCATTTTTCATCAAGATTTACTGTAAATACTCCAATGAATATTTTGTACTCTTTCTCTTGACCCAACAAGTCACAGAACTGAATCTTCATAGTTCGAGGTAGCAGTTACGGTGGGGATAGCACTGCACCAGGGTACGGAAAACTGAAGCTTGGGCCCTGGATCTGCCTCTGAACGTAGCCACACAACTCTGCGTGAGCCTCTTCTCTTTGAACCTTCACCCCATCTTCTGGCTCAGGGGCTCCCTAAAGTATCCTCTCCCTACTTCACACAAGAATGAAGGGAGGTGCTCATGAATCCTTTGCACATAGTAAAAGTGCCGATGCTAATACAAGGATGTGGTGAGAGACCTGTCTATATGCTTAAGTCTGTGTTACTTGCAGTTATGATTAATAGGAAAGGTTAATGTATATGCTTTTCTTTTTCTTTGCTTCCAATCTGTTGCGTTTAGGCTGAAGAAAAGAAAGTTTCTGAGAAGACTCTTCAGACCCCACTCTTGCCTTCACCCGTGGCCGATCACGTGAAGTGTAACATTTTGAAAGCCCAGCTGGAGAGCGCTTCCCGCGGGAGTGCCCAGGTGTGTGGACCACACTCGTTCCTTTGACTTCACCCAGCAGGGTTTCCTCCAGGACGTAGAGAAGTCTAGGATGTTGGGCAAGGTCCGGCCAGGAGGCAGGAACCACACCTGTTACGTGAAGAGATATTTTATTTTAAGATTGTGTGTATTTATTTTTAGAAAGAGGAGAAGGCAGGGAGAAAGAGAGGGAGAGAAACATCAGTGTGTGATTGCCTCTCATGGTGCCCCCACTGGGGACCTGGCTCACCACCCAGGCATGTGCCCTGACTGGGAATCAAACTGGCAAACCTTTGGTTCGTAGCCTGAGCTCAATCCACTGAGCTACACCAGCCAGGGCAAGAGAGATTTTAATATAAAAGGTTATTAACTGGTGTGCAGTTTTTAATCGGGCAGAGAAGGGGCCAGCTCTGTATGTCGCCATGGGTGTGAGGGCTGTGTCTCCCATTGTCTCCCAGTGTGTGCTCAGCTGGCCCAGCTGGCCGAGTGGGTGTCCTTTCCCCCCCCCCCCCGCCATTCTTTGTGGGACTCACCGGAAGGAGGAGGACAGGCTTCTATCAACATCGTATGACACAGTTCCTCCCAGGGTGGTGCACTTATGTGAAAGGACCGATTCTGAAACCCTTTATAGGCTGTAAGGGCTGTGTGAGAGCTGGTTATTATTCCAGATGTAATAGGCGAGGTGGGGGGTTGGACTGTGGGTTTGGCTTTTCCCACAGCATCCTCTTCTCATTCAAGCGTGAGCTGGCACATACCAGGTGCTCAATGAAAGTATGAAGGCGAGCAGTGATTGCTTTGGAATGATGAAGTATTAATCCCCGTGATGGGGAATGACTCAAGAAAACATTTTTTTGTTAACTTACATAAAGACCTGAGAATATTTGTTATTGACTGAGTGCTTGATAACTACCTCCTTTATCCACCTTCACATGTCTATAATCTTTTGAATGCAGGAGACTTGAGAACAGTTTTGCATGCCAAGATATTTAGTTTTGACAAACCTGCCTCTTTTCTTTCACAGGCTGGAAAGGAGGAATCAACGTTTGTAAATATCAATAAGAAATCGAGTCTTCAGGACGGGAATGTAAGGTCAGTGGCTTCTTGTTTGAATGGGGAAACCATATTCTCTGTATCATCAACATGATCCTCGAAACATTATGCATGAGGGTTTTGCTAATAAAAATCAGAGAAGAAGAAGAAAACGAGGAGAATGGGACCCTGGAGAGGTAGAAAAAAAAAACTGGCTTCCACAATCTCCTGTAAGCTTCAAAAATGCCTTTTCTCAGTTTTGATATTGCTGTACTACAAAGAAATCACTTCGAGTTGCTTTTCAAATGTATAGACCTGACCTTGTTACTCCACCCTGCTGCAGTCCTTTAGAGACTCCCCTGTGCTCTCAATCCAAAGCAGGATGCAATCCAAACTCCTTAGTAGGGCATGGGAGGCCGTTTTTGACCTGGTTTCTGCTTGCTCTCCCCGCTTGGTTCATTATTGCTCCCCTGGTCCATTGGTGCGCTCCTCATGCTGAGCTCCTTGACAATACTGGAACCACAAATGTTCTCCCACGCTTCCTGACCACCACCTACCCAGAGGAAAACCTTTCTCTCCTGAGCTCATAGAAAGCAGACACTCTTCCCTACTCAACCCAAGTGAGTAACCACCTGTAGATCAAGGTGGCCCCCCGACACCTGGGTGGCCTACTAACGCTGGCGTGGTCTTCCTGTCATAGTTTCCCGAAATGGGTCCAGGGATGACTGCTTCAGTCTCCTGTTAAAAGCAGAGACTCTCAAACAAACAAAGGTTCTTGGGTCCTTTTCCAGACCTTTCAGATCCTTTGGTTGGGGGCAGTGGGGGGGAATAGGAACTGGAGTTTCAATAAGCACCGAGGGGATCTAGGAAACTCTGCTGTGGGAAATTCTTATACTTGATACTAAAAATAATCAATACTTCTCCATGTCCTCTTATAATGCCCAGTTATTCTTGGTATACATTTTTCTTACTCCAAAGACATACACCCTGCTTCCTCCTGGACTTTTCAAAACCTTAATTCATCTCTTCCCACTCTATCCTACTATCTCTCCACCTATTTTCCAGTGTTGGTTAATAGCATTGTTACCTATCTGTTATCCAGACCTGACACCTGGGAGTCTTTGACTTTCTCCTAACCTGCCCCTCTCATCCAATTGGTCATCAAATTCTGCCAGCTGGGCTTTCATATTATCTCCCACGTCCACCCTCTCCTCTTCATAACCATGACCTAACAATGACGTCGAGCCCTCACCGTTTCTCATCCTGGATAACTACTGCTGAAGTCTTCTCAGATTCCTCCAGCTGCCCTCCTTCACCAGCGTCCTCTTGGTTGCTCTCAGGGCCTTTCTAAAATGCAAGTCTGACCTTGCCACTCCTTTGCCTGGAACCTTTAGTGACTGCCACTGCCTTCAGTGTAAACCCCTCAGTCTGAGGTCCCTCAGGACCTGGCCCTGGATCTCCCTCTTCTTAAGCCCCTGCCCTTCCACTGAGACGTCACCCGTCAGGAAGTCCAGGTCTCCACTCTGTCTCCCACCTGGGAAGTCTTGCCCCCATCTGGGTGAGTATAGACTTCTCCATGAAGCTTTCCAGATGCTAGCCATTCCACACAAGCAAAGTTGCGGGCTCCCTTGGTAGACTCTGAATTCTGCCAAGACTATATTCAGTTGAGTCAGGGGTTCCATCTTGAAGAAATCATAAACCCAGAATATTCTGACTCTAATCCCTTATTTGCTCATTCATGTGTTTATTCAACAAACATGTACAGAGCACAGGGCACATACCTATCACCCTGTTAGGCCCTGAGTAGAAGAGAAAATGGACACGGTAGCATTAACTTGCCAGAGGTCCCTTGCTGAGGACCTCAGCTTATTCTGATGTCCTTTGGTCTCAGGAGGTAATGTCTTATTTTTGAAATGAAAGCAGTCATGATCACTACAAAACTGTGTGAGAGCTTTTCCTTAAAATCAGCGTGTTTAGTAGGGCCCATTGCTTATCTGGCATTTTTTCTTGAGGAAATCTGAAAGTGCTATTTACTGTTTCACATTTTCACATATGCACTGGAATAAAATGTTTTAGAGCAAGTCTTAAAGGCCTTCTGATCATGCATTTTCCACATTAACTACTCTATGGTTATAGATATAGGTATAGATAAATATAGATATAGATATATCTCTGAGAATGTGTTTAAAATAAGATGACTACAAGATTACTTGGAAGCAAAAAATTGGTTATCCACAAATACATCTTTTCTCATTTTAGTAGTAAGGCCTGGGAATGAATCAAACCCTGATATTGGAGATGGGTGTTTTTGGCAGGAAAATTTTGTTGGATATCTCAATAGCATTGAGTTCCTGCTTGCTATATTTTCTTTCTTGTGACTTTGGGTTTTGTTTTTGGATTTCCTTGACTTTTTTTTTAATTGTATTTAATTAGTAGGGTGGAGAGGAGAAAAAAATGGGTACCTTGACTATCATTTTTATCAAGGTATAAATTAACTGAGAAAGCAGTCCCCTTACAGCCAAAACAGTGCCACAAACGTTTTTGTTGGGGTCGTTTTGTTTTACTTTATTTATTTATTTATTTATTTATTTATTTATTTATTTATTTTAAAAGGGTAGTTCACATACAATACGATGTTAGTTTCAGGTGTACGACATAGTGATTTGACATTTACATGCCATATGAAGTGATGGCCATGCTAGGTCCAGTAACCATCTGTGCAGAGTTGTGATGCTGTTATTGACCGTGTTACTGATGATGTACATTGCATCCCTGTGACTTATTTTACAATCCCTGTCGCCTTTTTCACGCACGCCCCCTAGCCCCCCATTCTCTGTCAACCACGCCGCTCTGTTTTTTTGTTATGTCTCCAGAAGCCCTATTCCTATACGTGTGGAAACGACCCAACCAGCAGTGGAAAAGCCGGAAATCAAGCCTCCCCGAGTGAGGAAGTTAACGAGACAATACAGTTTGTGAGTTCTTACTGCAGGTTTTTCCATGATAAGGACGAAGGTGATGCTCAACGTTCCGTTATGAATGCTTGTGAGCACTTCACATCATGCCCAAAGAGCCATCCCCAAAAGGCAGTTTGTTTCCAGTTTAGGTCATAACAAGACCAGGCCTTTCTCCCTGAAAACACTGCATAGTTGGCACCCACAGTCATCATGAAACGCTGTGGACAAATTACTACAAAACTTTGTGGCTTAATGAAAACAACCCCCAGTTATTATCTCACCGTTTCTGTGGGTTGGGAGTCCAGGCATGGCTTAGCTGGGCTGTCTGTGTCAAGGTCTCTCACAAGGCTGCAGTCAAGGTCTTGGCCAGGGCTGCAGTCTCCTCCGAAGACTCATTCATATGGTTTGGGACAGGATTTGGCTCCTCGAGGGCAGTTGGACTGAGGGCCTCTCTGGCTTTCTCCATGAGAGAAAGCACAGAGAGAGTGCCAGCAAGTCAGAGTCACAGTCTCCTGTCACCTGACCACAGAAATGACATCCCATCCTTATTCATCAGCAGCATCTCACTAGGGACAGCCCACTCTCAAGGGGAGGGACTTCCACAGGGATATGGATACCAGGGGTTTGTATCATGGGGAGTCATCAGAAGCTGCCTTCTCGTCTACTCACTGAACAGTACGAGACCTGTGGGAGGAGCCAAGTGGCCCAGAACCACCAAGGCCTGTCCACTTCTGTTCAGCTGAACAAAAGTTTCTAGGCTACCTACCCTTTGCACTGGGCTATTCTAGGTACCATGGGGAAAGAACAAAATGACTTTGAGAGTAAAAAAAAAAAAAAGACAGATTGCAAATATTCATCATCCAAAAAAGATAGGTAAATGCTATCTTCTTTAGCAGTGGTGGCAGTGGTACTTGTAATAGTAGCAGTACTGATCACCATGGCATGTTTTACTTCTTGACCTTGGCCATCACATCGTGTCTGGGTGCAGATTGGTCAGTGAGCTCCAGAAGGATCTTTGGGTGCAATGCAAAGCTTGTGGGACTTTGGTGTGAGATGGAGCCCTGGCCAGTTTATGGCTGGAAGCTCTTGGGAAAATCAGTCCACAAACTTCTCTTTCCTCATCTGGAAAGTGGGGTGACGTGTTTCCTACCTCTGCGGAATTTTGTTGACCTGAGCCAATGTGGGCAAAGCCCCCAGCCGGCGACATGGCCATAGGATAAAGTAGTTCCACTTCCTTTCTTCTCAAGGACCCGCAAGCTTCTGAGAAAAGGTCAAGTTTAAGGGTTCCCAGTATGCAAAGTGTAGGACAGAGAACGTGACTCCTGGATCCACCTCTGAGGGGCTCTTAAGGGCAGACACACCCACCTCATTAACTTCGGTAGAAACTCCTAGGCAGTGTAAGCAGCTCTCTTTCCTAAGAAAGCCCAAACAAGTAAGATTCAAATAATTAACAGCTGTAATGATCTCTGAGGGACAAATTAAACCTTGAAAATCCTGCTCCCCCAAGGGTAAAGCTGGCAGGCTTTGCCTTTCCTTTTACAGTTTGAAATTCAAAGTGTTACTTACTATCTGCCATTCAGGATATGTAATCATGTTGGAAACAATAACTAATACATGGCCTAGAAGGGAAGAAAATTTAACCAACTTACCAAATTGCCTCCTTTAAGAAAACCCGTTGTAAAACCTAGTGTGTTCAGAAGATGATGAGCTGCTTTACTTTCCAGAAATATAGCTTTACTATTTATGTAAACATAAATAGTACATAGTGTAAAAGCCCAAAAATATTCAAACAAGACAGAAAAGTCCAAAGAGAGAAGTAACCAATTCCCTACTATCACGCCATCAAAAATCAGCAATGTTCCCATTTGATGACTTACTTTAGACAGTTTTCTATGCATATATACTTTTAAAATAGAAAGAAATCATTCTGAAAAAAATGATAGTGCCACGCATAAACTTTCACTTATTGAAGTGTTGTTTCATGAATTTAACATGAATTTATCTCAAAGCTGAGGTAAAGTTGAAAGACCTGGTGAACTTTAGATATATGTTTCTTTGTCATAAGATCTAAGTTAAGACAAAAGGTTATTTTTCAAAAATACAATTTTGGAGTCTTTTTAAATTTTAGACAAGTATCAGTGGACTTTCTTCTGTGAAAGATGACCTGTTTTTTTTAATGGTTTTTTTTACATAAAACTAAATAATAACTATGCTTTTCAGGTTACAATTTTTTTTAATGAGGTAAAAAGAAAGTTTAGTCCCCCCTCCCACTTAACTAGCTGTGTGACCTTGGTCGAGTAATTTCACAATCAGCCGCTGAATACCATCTGCAAAGTGGAAACCGCAATACAGCATGTTGTGAAAATTAAACGGGCTATTCACGTAGCTGACCTGATTTCGTTCGTCAGCATGAATCCCAGTTCATGACATCTTATTGATTTTTCCACTTAACTGTTCAAACCCTCCCTGTCCTCCTTTTTCATAATCAAGTCCTAAGTCCTCCTCTTGAGGCTTCTCCATTCACAGAATGACCTCAGAGCCCCAGGGCCCCCCTCAGGCTGTCCCACCCACACTGCCACTGTGTACTGTGGCCACATGTTTCCACGAGGCCCAGCACTGTGGTGAGGCCACCATGCGGGACCCCACACAGGCCACACTGGTGCCCACTGGCCACAGATCTTTCATCTCCACTCTTTCGTTCAGCTGCGATTCTGAAATACGACCCTTGTGCCAGGGTGGCCCCAGATGTGCCACATGGAAACCCTTAGGGGAAGTGTGTCAGGGTCCCTGAGATGACTCTCACATTTAACAATTCACTAGAGGACTCACAGAATTCGGAAAAGCTGTTCTACTGTCAGTTAGGGTACATCAGAGTGAAAGGATGAAGCCCAAGAGAGCAAAGGGGAAAGGCACACAGGGAGCAGTCCAGGAAGACCAGGCCCAAGCTGCCCATTGTCCTCTCCTGGAGGGGCCGCATGGGCAGTGCTTAATTCTCCCAGCAACAACACGTGACAACATGCAGGAAGCATTGCCAACCAGAGCAGCTCACTCCAGACTCGGCATCCAGAGCTTTTACGGGGGGAGGGGGTCAGTCATGCAGGCATGGAACACTCATGTGACCAACCATAGTGACTCAGTCTCTGCCCACCCCTAGAGATAAAGCTAACACAGTGTGACCCAAAGCCCCGGGCGTTCATACAAAAACAGGCGTTCGCCATAAATCATGTTGCTAGCATGGACTCTCGGGCATGGCTCAAGCTCTCAGGGACGCACAGAAACTCTTATCTGTGGTAGGAGTATAGGGCCGGATAGTCCAAGGGAGGATAGTCCAAGGGCCCCGAGGCCCCAGCCTGGAGCTGTCCGTGACCAGTGCTTCATCTGGAATGTGCAGCGTTTGTTTTGCGCACCAGGCCTGCTGAGTTAGCTACTTACTGCTCGGGCAGCAGTCTGCTGGCATTAGGGCCTGGAGACTTGCATGAATTTCTATACATCTGAGAAAGTGCCGGGCATACTAAAAATGGGGCATTGATGCTGCTACTCTGGTCCTGTGCCCGGGCGATCAAATCAGAAGGACGTAGCCTTCGGGAGGTCAAACCTCCCCCTTGCATCTCTAAGGCAAGTCCAAGCCTTGGAGATGAGCCAGGGTGCCAGCTCAGACTTTCCTGACCTTCATGGGGACTTCCCCTCTAGTGTCCCTTTTCTGCCTGTGTCATCCCATTTCATCAGGGAGATTCTAAGACCAGAGCTACTTGGCCCCAAAACAGAGGTGCCCAACTCCTCCCCACACTGTGACCAGTGTATCACACCAAAGGGACACTAGCTGTTAGGCCACAAAAGGGCTTTTAATCCTTTACTCAGAGCAGTAGGTTCCAACAAGCCTGGCACGTACTCCCCAATGGGAGGCTGCTTAAAATAATATCCCTTCTCCCTGGCTGGTGTAGCTCAGTGGGTTGAGCGTGGGCCTGTGAAGCAAAGGGTCGCTGTTTTAATTCCCAGTCAGGGCACATGCCTGGGTTGCAGGCCAGGTCCCGGTAGGGGACGCATGGGAGGCAACCACACACTGATGTTTCTCTCCTACTCTTTCTCCTTCCCTTCCCCTCTCTAAAAATAAATAAATAAAATATTTAAAATAATAATAATAATAATAATAATATCCCTTTGTTTGCTGGTTCCTCATAAAGTTACACATAGAACTACTGTATGACCCAGCAGTTCCACTCCTATGGGGAATTTCAGTCCAAAAGAATCAAAAGCAGGGACTGGACCAGATACCTGTGCACCAACGTTCATAGCAACACTCTTCATAATAGCCAAAATGCGGACACAACCCCGGCCACCCACTAACAGGTGGGCGGACAAAGGGCCACCTCTCTGTGCAATGGAATCTTCCTCAGCCATAAAAAGAGTGAATTGTGTCATGTTGCTACAACACGGGTGGCCCTTGACAACATTGGCGCGTCAAATAAGCCACCACCAGAAGGACAGATGGACGATTTCACTTCTCTAAGGTACCTAGAGTCGCCCACTTCACCCAGACAGGAAGCAGAACAGATGTCGCCACGGGCTGCGCAGGGAGCAATGGAGGGCTGTTGTTCAGTGGGTGCGGTTACCGCTGGGGATGACGAAAAGGTTTTGGGCCCACACATGGTGACGATCACACAACACTGTGAATGTATCTATGCTACTGAGTTGCACACTTGCAGATGGATAAAATAATATTGGTCTGTGTATCCTTTCGTTAAAAAAAAAAAAAATTCTTTTACTCCCTTGGCAAGTGGCAGAAAATCCAGCCCCAGTTTGCTTTGGCAAAACTGTCACTGGATTGGGTCTTGTAAGCGGGACCACTGGTAGACCTCTGTTTGGGGGAGCCCCCCACCCCTGCCCTGGCTGTCCCGGCCCCCGCGCCCCCCACCCACTCCCCACAGCCTGCTTATTATTGTAATGAGCAGAGCTGCATGTGCTTTTAGTAACCGCAGTGATGAAGACGACCTCCCTCCAGAGCTGGCCGAGGCAGTAGGCGTGCCCGTGACCACCACACCAACCGCCACCACCACCACGACTGCCACCACACAAGTCTCAGCTCCACTGGCGTCCCCCAAGGTCCACAAACTCAGCTCGCCTCAGGATTCAGAAGGCAAGAGCCAGCTGTCCCCAGGGGCCAAGGTATGGGGAAGAAAAGCCCTGAGGAGTGGCTGCACTTGCTGGGAGTTGAGTAGAAATTAAGTGTGTGGCATCCGTGTGCATTTAAAAAAAAAATTTTTATTGCTGTGCAATTACAGTCGTCCCCATCATTACTCTCCCCTGCCCTTCCCACCCCCACCTCCCACATTCAATCCTCCCCTCTGCCGTTGTCCATGTCCATCAGCCTTCACACATGCTCCTTGACGAGCATGCTCCTTCCCTCCCCCTTCTCTCCCCATTATCCCCTCCCTCCTCCCCTCTGGTCACTGTCAGTTTGTAATTCATTTCCATGTTCTGTTTTGCTTGCTTGTTTGTTTTGTTGATTAGGTTCCACTTACAGGTGAGATCATATGGCATTTGCCCCTCACTGCCTGGCTTGTTTCACTTAGCATAATGCTCTCCAGTTCCATCCATGCTATCGTGAAGGGTAGGAGCTCCTTCTTTCTTTCTGCTGCATAGTATTCCATCGTGTATTTAAATTTTGCATAATCAACCCTTGCAGGAGACTTGAGCTTCTAAAAGAACGTAACAGCCACCAAAGCATGTTTTTGCTGTAACTGTCTCTGGAAAACAGGCTAAGCATTTCTGAGAGACAAGCAGCGTAATATGAAACCATGCATACTGTACTTTAAGGGAAATTAAAGAGATTTTTGAGGGCGATTTTGGTTTCAGAATGTCATCACTACACAGACCGATCATGGGAAAGACAGAACGTGAGAGTGGGTCTCCTCCTGTAACGGGACACTTGGAGGAGTAAAATGCAGAAGCAGCCCATCCCAGTCCTCGTGTTGGAGAGCCTGTGTGCATAGTGTGACAATGGGAAACAGTATTCTATTCGGTTGTTTGGAATTGCAGGAAATTCCCAGCAACATGAATGGACTATGACAAAGGCCTCAAACAAAAGCCATTTCTCTTGGTTTCCGCTGAGTGATGCTTAGCTGTGCTCACTCTTCAGCATCTGGTCCAAACGCAGTTGACTCGATCACTCTCCGGGTAGATGTTGAGATGGAGGTGGCTTGGTCCATGGACCCCACTGAGGCATGGGATCTGCACGGGGTCGGGGGATGCGGGGTTGCTGAAGGCAGGACCTGAGGCCCAGACTCAGTGCCCAGCTGCTCCTTTCTGATGCCTTATGGTGGCTTGAAATGAGCTGTCAGTGTGCGGCCCCTGTTTCTCCCAGCCTCAGTTTCCTCCTCCTGAGAGTGGGAATAGTATCTACCACCCTGCTCAGCTCATGGACCAGCTTCGGGTCCAGAGGGGGTTAAAGCGCTTATGCAAACCAGGGGAGCTGGATGTGGGAGGCTTCTGTGGCTTCAGGATGATGACTCCTGGCAATGTCCTGGTGCCACAGTCCAGGCTCACACCTGCATGACCAACACCCGTCTTTCCCAGGATTCCCTCCCAGGGTCTCAGGAATGCTTTCACACTCCTCACAGCAACCTGGCCAGCCCCCTCAGCCAGGACTGACCCAGACCGAAGCCCTGCTTTTCTGTGGGTCACCTCCTGGTACCTCGAGTTGGGCTCCCCTCTGCTGTGTGGATCCCCTCGTTCTGCTGTGCCCCACGTGTGGACACAGGCTCCTGTCACGCACCCCACCCCCGCCCCCCAGTGGAGACCAAGTGAAAACATGCACAAGACAGAAATGAGTTCAGGGAGGGTGGCGACAGCATCCTACCAGAAGCCACAGGGCTCCCCCTCCTGGCCGTCTGGGTCCTGAAGTTCCTGCCTGTGCCAAGTGGGTGGGATTCCTTCACCACCCCCCACAAAAGGCTTCAAGGACCAGTGGTGCCGAGACTGCCCCCCCGCCTGCCCTAGGACAAGAGAATAAAAGTGTTTTCTCCAAAAACGAACACGACTTTCAGAGGCACCCCTCCTCCACTGTCAAGTTCGTCCCCATTACTGTGTAGGGGAGTTAGCTCCCGGAGGCCTTGACCCTCTCCATCCAGGATGGAGGTTTGCTCTCTCCAAACACGCAGAGGACTCTCTGCAGCATTTCCCCCTCAGCAGGCCGTTCAGAGAGCACTCGAAGTGTCTCAGCAACATTGTTTGCGGCTTCCCATAAAAGGCAGTTGTCCCCCCCCACACCCTGCATCTGCTCATTAAGGCTCCAGGGAAAAAACCCGTGGAGCTTGGTCTTAACCTTCTGTGCACTGCCGAGTGAGAGAACGGCGTGGGGGCTGGCCTCGTCATGAGTTCAGTATTAGAAACTGGACAAGTGGGCTCGGGAACCTCTGTGTTTTCTGGTGACAGTCCACTGTCACCCCCAAACTGTCACTAACCGGGATATTTTTGTCTGCCCTCCTAGAGTCCCTCTGACCACGGAGGTGCCTTTACCTTGGAGCCAGGTGATCTCCTGATGGACTTCACAGAAGCCACTCCTCTGGTAAACTTCCTATTTTGCTAAACCCAGAAAAGCCACAGTCCGTAGAAATGCCTTGGCAGTGGGACAGATGGACAGAGGTGGGCATCGCCGTTGGGAAGGCCCTTCCTCTTGTTCTGCTCACGGCCGCAGGCTTGGGGATCAGCTTTCTTTGAGGATTCAGGCACCAGGGGTCCCTCCCAGGGTCCTCGAGGAAGGGCAGTGCCCCTTTCCTTTGAAGGGGGCCCCCAGGGTCCTGACCCCACCTGTCCACTGCTGCTTACCCCTGGGTGCTTGGGTCTTGGCTTCTCGGCTTCCTGGGCTGCGCCCCCCGCACGTTGACCCATGGAGCATCACTTGTGGCTTCCAATAACACGCGCTGCTCTGAAGCACTTGCTCAGCCCTCACGCTGGCTCTCCAGGCCCCTCGTGCCTCCTGCCACCCTCCATTGTCTACATACAGGTCTCGTGCCCTTAGGGAGGGCGGCCTTCGTGGGGCTCGTGCCGCTGAGAAACCCTCTCAGGAGAGAGAGCACTGAGCCAGGAGTCATGCAGGCCAGGCCCGGCTCCAATCTCTGCTCGCTCCTTAAGAGCCTTGTCATTGGATGGTCGCTGCCTCCTCTGTCCAATAAGGATGTCGTTTACCCTGTCTGCCTAAGAGTGTGTGTGTGAGAGAGAGAGAGACAGAGAGATCTTCAAGAATGCAAAACACCATAAATATGTATAAGAGATCCCATTATTATTATTATTATTAGAGGACACAGGCAAACTCAGATGTATCTTCAGCTCAACCTAATATCCAACTGTACTCGAGCATAAGTCATGGTCCACAAACGGGGGGCACGAGTCAAAATGTGAGTCAAATTAAAAACTGTCTCCCAAGAGCTTGCTGTGCGCCCGGCCACACGGAGGCCCTGGGAGTGGAAAGGGCAGCTAGAGGTGGGCGGGGAGTCAGGTTGATAAAGGGCCAAGGCGGACAGGCGAGCCATGTGGAAGGCGCACAGGGAGGGGCCGGAGGTGGGAGTCGTTCAGGTCTGGCTGGCCGGGGGAGGGTTTCTGAAGGCCTTCAAATGAGGCCAAATGCTGTCCAGGCTTTAGGAACGACCACCAGTCCAGCCTCAGCCGGCACAGGGAAATCATCTGTGATTTCTACAGTTTTACTTCTTACCTGGAGATCGGTAGCATCTCAGAGCTTCACGTCAGCTCCTTTGGACGGACAGCAGAGAACCAGTGGTTCTGGGAACTGAGTTCTCCCCCAGTACAAGTCAATGGAACCAAGTTAATTCATGGTCTTTTCATTAACAGATTGTCCAGGCAGGGTGACTCAGAAACGAAGGGCCCTTCTTCATGGCCTCGGGGCCCCTTCTCCCAGGGCGGGAGGCTCGGCCCCAGAGCGGGGAAGTCACACGGGGACCCAGCTGGAGCCCCTGTGTCCTGACTCCTCCTCCCGTGCTCTGTCCATCAGGTTGGGCTAGATCCAGCCTCTTCTTTGGGGAACTGCCACTTTGGAGAAGAACTTGGAAGAAGGGCTGTGTGTACAGCACTCCCCTGACTGGGAAACTTTGACAAAGTTTTCTGGAGTTTCCTTTCCTGGAGGAAAGGACAGTAAGTTAGGTGACCCTGGCCTGGGGCCACATCAGCATCCCAGTGAGGCACCAGTTGTGTCTTAGAGGGGCCGAGCTGTTGGAGACGGAAGCCTCGGTAGCAAGCCGAGGACAGCCAGCCTAGCTAGGGGGCAGCATCCCCCAAAGGACCCGAGAACCCTCAGGGTACAACCTGAAAGCCTATGAAGGCAAAAGGGGAGAAAGCTAAGTTCCTGGGCCTCATGGTACCAGGGTTTTAAAGTATGACTAGGAGGAGTAGGAGTTTGCCACGTGGAGAAAGTAGACCAAAGCATTCTGTGCAGAAGGCACAGCATGAGCAAAATGCTGCAAATTTATTTAAAAGGCCTGATAGATTTGAGAATTAAGATTAATTTACAAAAAAGTGTATCACGGCTTTGATGGGAGCCATGGGATTCTCTTAAAGACCATCATGTTACAGATGCGGCTCGGAGATCGAATTGCCCGTCTTCTCTTCGAGTGGAACAGACTGAGACTGGGAAGGAAGCGGCATCTGGCAGGGACCAGAGGTCCCATGATGAGATGCAAATGCCTAACGAGTGCCTGTCCAGACTCTGTTTGTACCGCTCCAGCAACAGAGAGCTCGTTCCTTCTCCCCGGGACACCCCACTTGCATCTCTGGTGCCCCCTACTTGGCTCTGACACCGGGTCCCGGGTGCCGTGCTGCCCAGGCATGGCACAGCTGGGGTCCTTGTACTACACCAAGACCCGCTGCCCACTTCACAGCTGAAGTTGGCAGTGAATACGTGTTCTCCGGGCGAAGCCCCCTTCATCTTGCTCGTGTGCATTTGAGGCCTGAGTGCACGTTCACACAGAAGGCAGGCTGGAGGGCTGGGATTTTGGAGACAGCTCACTCCATTTGGGCTTCCTCAGCATCCCTGGCTTTGCCCCTACTTCACTCCAGAGTCCTGTCTTCCAGGGGTCCCCAGGGGTCCTGGAGAGAAAGAGAGGCCCTGGCGGCCTGCTTCTCCCTTTGTCTGGTCCTCCTCCCTCCATCTCCTCCATCTCTTCCGTCTGCCCCTCCCAGTGTCAAAGGAACGCCAGTGGCAGCCTCTCTGCCCTCGTGGTCAGGGTGATGGAGGGTCTGTGTCCCAGGACAGCAGAGGAGAGGCTGGACTTGGTGTCTGTGACCAAATGAGACTCCTAAAGCCACATCACTGGCCTGGTTCCCTGGAGAACAGAGGAAAGAAGAGAGATCAGAGCTGGACGGACAGGGAGCTAGAGAGGCGAGGGACAGCTGATCTCAGCTTCGTTGGAAGGCCTTCCACTGAGACTCTCAGGGCCGGGTAACGCTGAGCCTCTCCCACCTCTGTGTGGGGCGGTTTCCAGGGAAGCACAGTCCAGACAGCCAAGAATAATAAAAAGGGTTTCGATCTTGACTGGTATCTAAAAAAAAAAAAACCCAGACACTCAAGGCATTAAATTCACACCTGGTAACACTTCTCAAATCTCCTTTTGCCGCCTTCTTAATTCTCTCACCCTCTGTACACCTCCAGGAACTTTCATGGGCAAGCGCTTCACAGAAACTTACTTTCTGGCTCCACTCTCGCAGCATTTTCCCCCTCCTCCCAAATCTTTTCTTCCCTCACCAGCTCTTCTATTAGGTAGCTCAATTTAGCAATCTGAGTCCCTCCACGTCTGCAGCTTGTTGTCTCCCAGGCCCAGAATCGGCATCGCAGACTTCCCCACTGGATCCGCTTCTGCCTGGGATGGAGGAGGTGGGGCGTCGGGGTGGGGGGAGAAGGCGCGTGAGTGAAGACAGCACCCACTCTCCGTCTGGCATCCGCGGCAGGGGTGTGAGCGCGAGCAGTGCATGGAGGGTGTTGGTGTTAATAGAGGAGGGCAGTTGGGAGGAAGGAACACTGACGTGTAATGATGCCGACCCCTCAGAATGCAGGTTCCTGCCCACTGCCCCGGGGCAGCCATGCCCGCTTCCCTCCCCAGGTAACACGGACCTTAGACACCTGTGTCCCTGTGTTCCTGATGCTTTCTTTCCCTTTGAGGCTTGTCCCTCCTTGATCCCTGTGCTTCCTAAACCACTCACCCAACTGCAAAGCAGACCCGGTCAGAATCCGGATCTCTCCTGGGTCAGGGATGGTCGGTCAAGTTCACGTGTCAGGGAGGAGACGGGTCTAACCAGAGGCAGCCTGTGAAGGGCACAGAATGGGCCCTGCGTTGGCTGTCAGAAGGGTTGGGTTTCTGCTGGTCTCAATAACAGGTTTTATTTTGAACTTCATTCAATCAGGAGGGCTAAAACTTCATCTCCAGTCAAATCAGGGGGCCTCTGAGCTCTCCAGGGCCCAGGGAGAGGGAAGGATGGTGTGTGGTTTGTGATGCCATCTGCGTGCCCACACATGGGGGCACCCTGCTTCCCTCACGCAGACAGTGGAGTGGAAATCACCGGGCTGCTGGGATGGAACCCCTGTCTGCTGGACACACCTCACAGCCCTCCTGCTCTGGGGCCTGCCGGTTCCCTAGCGCTCCCTGAGCAAAGGGGCACAGGTCCTCTCCGGCTTCCCCAGCCTCAGCCCCTGGACGGGGACCTAGGGCCCCTTTTCTCAACGCTCCCTAATGTCTGCCCCCCTCCCTTCCACTCTGACTTTTCTGCTCTGTCCTCAAACTGGCAATCGCTTTTCCAGTCTGGATGGTGAAGCCTCACACAGTGTCATCATCAGTCATCCAGGCCAAACTCCTTCCCAAACGGCAGATTTGGGAACTTCCAAGCCGACTAGGACTTAGCTGCCTGAATGTGGGAAAGGCCCAAGGAGCAAAGGAAGCACCAGGCAAAAAATTAAAGTGGCCTTTCAAAACAGTATCCTCTTACATGTGTTATCTCATTTCCTGCTCATTTACCGAGAGTCAAGAGCGTGGAAGTCTCAGGAATGTCCTTTTGTTTAAATACACTCAGATGCGGATTTAGGAAGGTCAGAGATGCTTTGGGAGCAGCATTTCTTGACCATAAAAAGTCCAGTGCTGGGCAAAATCCTAAGTCATTCACTATAATCTTCAATTCAGACATTGGTGGGCTGTACACGTTTTGGCTTATCGGGAGCCTGCCCGAGTGTCTTGGTCATTTATGCCTGCTTTTATTTCTTCAAAAAGCACACACTGGGTGCCTGCTGTGCTCTGCAGAGGCAAAGGCCCCGTGACCTGGGGTCCCTGCTGTGGTGGTCCTGGCTGGGGCTGTGAGCGAGGGGCAGTGGTGGGAGCCGAGGCCGAGGGCAGGCAGGAGGCAGCCCTGTGCGGGCCGTGGGTGCTGCCTGGGCAATGTAGGATTTCACCCGAGAACCAGAGAGAGCAGAGGGGGGATTGTAAGCAGGCAGGTAAAACCTAAGCATAGGGGACTGATATGGACTCACTTGTTCCTGAAGAATAGGTTTAGAACCAATCACAAGAGGGGCCTAGACCCATGGATTTAGACTTTGCAAATGCCGTTTCTGCACATCCCCGATTTGAAGAGGGAAACCAGGCTGTGGAGAAGGCTGTGGTGACACGGTGGCTGTGGAGGCCCCTGGAAACTGCCCGGACGGCACGGCTGCAAAGGGGGCGGAGTTAGATCACTCTGGAGACCAGAAAGGGGCCTTCGGTTTTCTTGATCAGTTTTCAATGCAGCTGAACCACAGCCTTGCTTTATTCATTACGGCAGGATCGTACCAACTACTTAAGGAAACTCTCTTGAGCTAAAAGATGCACGTATTTATTCTGTGGAGCGAATGGTCTCTCGGTGAAACCCAAACTACCCCCGGCAGTGGTCCCCTCTCCTAACCTCAGAGCTTTCTCTCTCCACCATCGTCATTTTCACCATGACAAGCTGTGTGTGGGACCTCTGCCCAGTGCATGGCACAATTCAGGGCTGCGCCGGGGAACCTGGCATCCCAAGTGACGTGGCATGTTCTCACAATGCTTGGGATCTTCCAGCTCAGCAGCAGGGTACCCCAGTGACCATAAGAGGTGCCCAGGCATGGGCCCCTGGGTGTGGGAGGGGGCTCAGGGCAAGTATGTTTTCTGAACACAGATAAAAGACACGACAGATTAAATCCTAAACTCTTTGTTCCTCCTCGCTGATATATCTCTTTCCTGGGGCGCTCTGCTGGACGTCTCCTCACCGATTCACCATAATATGGATCCCTATTTAGCAGAATGCAGGAGGCCACCAGGCGTGGGAGGCAGACACTCCCAAGTGGTGGCCCCTCCTCGCAGTGCCCCCTTGTGGTATCACTGACTCCTCACAGCTTGCTTTCTGGCTTGGCCTGGGCAGCGTGTCAGATTCCTCCACAGCACGGCAGGAAGCCACTGCCAGTCCTGCGCAGGTGGCACAGGAGATGGCCCCTACCAGCCCGCCCCGGGAATGGGGTTCCGATGTGGTGTTCTGCTCCACAGTGTAGAGAAGACAGATGAGAGCCAGAGAGGAGGAGAGCAGGCGGAGAGCGGAGGGAGGCGGGAGGGACTAGGCTCCGGTCGGCCAGGGGCTGGAAGCAGGCTGCGGGTGAGGCTGGCTGGCCAGCAGCGGTTGGCAGATCCGTCTTGCACTGTACTATCTTTCTCTCCTTCCCCTCCCTTATCTCCTCTTTCTCCTCCCCTCTCTCACCTCCTCCCCTTCTCTCCACTCCTCGTGAGCAGGCAGAGCCCGCCAGCGCCCCCCACTGTGCCCACTCTCGCTGCTCTCCTCCACTCTCTCTCCCCATGAAGGAAGAGACCACTGGAGTTTGCATGCACCCTCCAATCAAAACGAGGCTGGTAGGTACCTGGCAGGGAGAGGGGCCTGGCCAGGAGAGGCGAGAAGGCCCCAAGGGTGTGCAGCAGCCGCAGCCCGCCCGGAGAGGCCAGCTGACAGGTGCTCTCTCTGCAGGATGGACGCAGAGTTTGGAGACCAGCTGGCTCTGGTCGAACCGAGACGTGGGGCCGCGGTCCTGCCCCTCATCTCTAGGTCTCCAGAACCAGGAAGAGTTTGTTTCCCTAGAGCTTCAATGAGCCGAGATGGTTTCCCAGAGAAGAAAAGTCTTGGTTGCACTGCTATTACAAATAAAAATTTATCAAGATGAGTCTTACATGATGACTTGAAAGGAATCACTCATAACCCCAACCAAGCACATTTTTTCCTTTTTGCATGTTTCCTGCTAACAGTCATTCATATTTATTCACAATTTTACAGGATTAGGCCATAGTATCCATAGCACCTCCTGTTTTTCACTTGACGTTGTGTACTCTCCGTCTGGTTACTATGTTCTCTAGGACCATTTATGTTCCGTTAAGTGAGTGGCCCACCATTTACCTATTATTACTGCATGCTGCGTACTTGGTCTCCAGTTGCACTTGCCAGGGAACGCATGTAGGCTTTTGCATCAGGCATTTTTTTCCCTCAGGCTAGACCCTGCCAGGTTCGATAGTGTGACTTTGACCTTGCTCCCTTGCCAAAGTGGCTATACCAAGTGACGGCGCCATCGGAAGGGTGAACATGCTTGGCCACATTTGCACAACACAGGGTAGAACTGTTGGAATACATTTCTTCTTATTTAGAGCAGGTACAACATAATTCTTTGGAGTTGCCAATTTTCACACTTCTTTAATAGCAAAAATGAACCTCTTTCCCCTTCTCCTTCATGAAGGTCTGAGAGTCTTATCTGTATGTTACTTTTCATTGGGCTCTTGGTCCCAGAACACCACGTGGAGCCAACAGGCAAACCTGCAAGAACGCACCACATGGCTCTGCCCCCAGTCCTAACCCCGCTGCACTGCAGGTGGTCTCTACCAGTAGTCTGAGCTGGCACCCGAGTCTTAAGGCAGTGTGGGGTCCATTCTTGGAATTAGGGGCTGTCGAAAAAGGCAGAAGAGAGTTTGGGAGAGGAGAGCAGTCTTGGACTGAACCTCTCAATACAGATTGCAAAGACATTGTTATCCCCAGGCCAGTTGGACTGAGACCTATGCCACCCATTCAGAAACCTCAGAGAATTTTGGTCTGGACTGTTGTGTTTTTGTACATTCCTACCTTACTGCCCATTAGAGTGACTCAAGGGAATCAGGCAGTTGCCCCAGGGTCCACAGACCAGACCCTGAGGGACACAAGGGCTGCTGCCCTCTGGTGGTGGGTGGCAGAGTGTGCATTCACGAGCAGGCTTGCAGGCAGTTTCTGTGCCCTGGGGCTGCAGACACAGGTAAGTGCCAGAGTCATCAGGTCCCTGGGTCGGCTGGCAGTTCTTTTAGGCCAGATGAGAGAAATCAAGCCTCTCCCCCCATTTCCCAGGGCTCCAGGGGCCAAAGACGAAATGACCAGACAGAGAAATGGAAGCAAGGGTTCTCTGGGCTACCCACCACGACCTGCTCACGCTGGGGCACCCACCCTCTTTCAGACCAGGCCTGTGCTGCCGCCACCCGGGAACTGGGCACTTCTGATCACCGTGCCTTCCGTTCCCAGAGGCCATGGTGGCGAGAATCTCATGTGCTTATGTGGGCTCCTTCCCTTGCCCAGAGTTGACAGGGAGCTCCACAACTAAAGGGGACAGACAGGGAATGTTTTCCGGCCCAGTTAGTCCAGGTCAGGACTGATGGTGTAACCTTAGGTAAGTCACTCCTCTGTCTACTGTGACAGACTGTGTCCCAGGATGTGACCCTTTAGCAGTCACTAGCCCTTTCCCTTCAGCCGCAGAGAAGCCATCAGCAGCCACCCCAGGCATCTCTGGCCTGCCTCATCGTACACCCTGATCAGTGGAGCAGGCCGAATACAGGGCCCAGTGTGCCTGGGAGGCCAGGCAGACCCCAGGGAAGGGGTTCCAGGGCGAGGTAAGCGTGGGGTGTCCCCAAACACGAGACTCCAGCCTCTCGTCCCTACTGCGCCCCAGCCTGCAGTACGATGACCACAGATGTAACCACTGGTCACACTCCTGAGGGACCTCAGTGTGTTTCTCTGCACAAGCAGTGAAGACTCTGCATGCGTCCCCTCAAATCTTTCAGTTTGACTTTGAAAGAGCACTGCCAAAGATGGCAAAACTTTATTTCCTAATCTGAAAGTAACACTCTTGTCTTTTCTCTTTTTTGAAGATAAAAACATTCCCGGTTGATACAGTGACCCCGTTTCCCGATCCTTTCATTACGGGGCCCCAGTTTACGGTAAGTAGCTCCAGAAAACCAACCTGTGTTCAAAGGCATTGTCCCGTGGGGCGTGCTTTCCTGTGGGGCGCCAGGCAGCCCTGCTCACAGCTTCTTAGATCTCTGTGAGCTCTGTGAGTTCAGAAGGCGCTGGGGTATGGCGTGTGGGTGGGTGGGGGGTGTGCTCCATCTTTTAGTTATTTTATTGAGACGAGCTTCATTAGATACAATGAACTGTTTTAAAGTGACAACTCAGTGACATTTAGTACGTTTAGAGTCATGCAACTACTGCCATCGTCTAGCTCAGAAACATTCTTTTTACCCCCAAAGCAAACCTCGAATCGAAGAAGCAGTCACTTCCCATGTCCCACCTTCCCCTGGCTGGTGGCAGCCATCAATGTGCATTCTGTCCCTGTGGATTTACCTAGTTTGGAGATTTCATATAAATGGAGTTATGTAATATGTGAGCTTTCGTGTCTGGCTTCTTTCACTTAGTGTGATGTGTTTGAGGTTTGTGCACATTGTGGCATATATCAGTACTTCATTTCTGTTCATGGCAGAATAGTATTCCATTGTATACACACAGTGCAATTTGTTGATCCATTCATTTATTGATGGGTATTTGGGTTGTCTCCACCTCTTGGCTATTATAAATGGTGCTGCTCTGAACACACACGGATGCAATATTTGTTTATCGGTTCTTTATTCTTCTGGGTTGGATCTGCATCTTGATAATGGTGTGATTTTAGGTAAGTCTTTTATCGCTTTGAATACCACTCTCCCCTTACTTAAAGTGGACACAGTGATAAGAATATCCTCCTTGCATCCAGTTGAGGCAAGAATCAAAAGAGATCAAAAACTTAAAGAATGTTCTTTAGTGGCTACAAACCATCCCACAAACGTCAGGTGTGGTTATTTTTCAAGGCTGGAGAGGCAGGTGGTGTAATTAACAAGGGCTGGTAGCTGTGACAACCGGTGTCGTGTCACCACCTCTCTCCGCGTCACTGGACAGCTTATTTACACTCGCTGAAAACAGGTGGAATGTTTTTTAACATGTAAGGGTAGTTTTCTCATCTGCAGAGTGAGTGTTTGGTGGTTTTCAGGCTCCTTTTCAGCTGCTCGATTCTCTTCCTTAAATGAAAATTTTACAGGTCGCTATGGTGTGGGCATCCGTCTGGAGCACAAGTGGGGAATCCAGGGCCCCTCGTCTTTCCCCTCCCCTCCCCTCCCCTTCCCCCAGGGATCAGTGGTGATGATTCCTAGAACCAAATGCCTCCTGAGAGACTCCTCCCAAAGGGTTTCTGGCCAATCCGGAGGATCTGTGCAGTGAGCTATGGGTGTCCCGGGAGCAGCTCAAAGCGCGGCCTCATGAGCCGCATCGTCATCACTACCTGAGGTGGTCTGAGTCACAGGGAGAGGGAGGGTGTGAGCAGTGGCTGATTCAGCACAAACGGAAGGGAAGGTGTTCAGCAGTCCATGAGGAGTCAAAAAAACGGGCTTCCACAATGTCCATTTCTAGGGTTATAAGCTGCTTGCAGCCTCTGCCTCTTAAGAACCAGAGGGCAGAGACATGGGCTTGACCAGGCTGTTAAATGCATCCCACCCCTGCAGTTCCGCTGGGCACAGTTCCCCAGCTGGAAACTCCGGCTCCGCTTCCCTCCGCTGGCCATAATGGGCACTCTGGCCTCCTGCCCAGCCTTGGCAGTGCTGTGGAACACCCGGGAAGCCCTTCCTGAAAAGCTGGGGGCCAAGGTGGAGCAGAAAACCAACGTTAGAAACCACCCTGGGACTTTCAAGAACTGGGCAAGTGCGGCTTGAAGACAGCTGCAGCAGGCAGAGGGAACAGCATGGACGCCGCGCAGGAGGGATCCTCCCACGTTCAAGGGACTGAAATGAAAGCCAGAGAGACTAACATGCAGAGCGCAAGGGAGTGGGGCATGAGAAGAGGAAGGGAAGGAAAGAACAAACATTGAAGGGCCAAAACCACGCTTGGCCGGGTAGGCCGCAGTAGGAATTCCAATGTTTATCCTAAGAGCAATGGGAAGGCTTTGAAGGACTTAAGCCGGGCAGTGACAGTGCAGGTGCATTTGGAAACGTTCCCTGTGATGGGCAGAGTGGATTCAGGGCAATAGTCTAGAAATGGAGGACAGCGGGCAAGAGGGCAGAGAACTTGACCCAGAGCAGTTTTGGTGGTAGCGATGGAGAGAAGGGCAGAGATGGGGAGATATTTAGGAGACTGGTAAGACCTGGATTCAGTAAAGAAGTGGGAAGGTCAAGAATGGCTTCCAGATGTCTGAGCTGCAGAACGTGGATGGACAGTGGGTTCGCTCACTGGGATAAGGAAATCTGGAAGAAGACTGGATTGGGAAGGGTAATGAATTGGCCTCTGGCCATGATGTGTTAGAAATGCCTTGGAATGGAAAAAATATAATAAAAATTAAGTCAAAAAATAAAAACATACTTAAAAAATGCCTGGGAAACACCCAGGTGGAAACAATGAGTGAGCAATCGGATATCCAGGTCTGTAACTGGGGAAAGAGACTAGATTGGAGACCATAAATAGGGAGTTATTGACAGCCCAGTGGTAACGAGGGCAAACTCATGGGCTTCAGCCTCCATGATTTTCTCCCCACCGAGGTTAAGAGCCTTGAGCTTGCTGCAGGACTGGCCTCTCCACAGACCTCCAGACATATCCTAGCCCTAGTTGTCAGGGAGTCCAGCAATATCAGGGAACTCGGCACAAAGTTTGTCTGGCAACTGATCTAGCATTGACCTTGAGCCTGGTTTCAACAACTGGGCTCCTTGCTTGATCCTAAAACTAGTTCCTACCTTATATTCAGGCCTATTAACTGGGTTTCTGCTTTGTACGCAGCCTAGTGCCTTGATCTGTCTAGGATAAGGGCCCCAGGCTGGCTCTGGTCAAGTTAACATCCCATGTTTTTCCTAACCCGGGTCTGCCCCTCTTTTATCTGCTTTGTTCAATGACAGTTCATTCATTCATTCATTCATTCATTCCTTTCTTCATGTCTTCATTTAACAAATATTTAAAAAACGAGTACTCAGCATTGAGATTCAATAATATTGGTAATCTTCACTTCTCCCCAAGGTCGTTCTTAAGTGAAGCTGGCTTTTCTTCCAGGAGTACGTGACGTTGACGAATATAGTGACTGCTAATACAGTTTGGTGTCACTACCTTGATTCATGCTAAGGCCCTGGCACTGTTACCCACTGTTGCCTTTGTGCTATATTTCCCTCTTTTTTCCAGAAAGTATCAAAAGTGACATTAAAAGCCCAACCTCCACACGCTCCACTGAAGCAACAACAAAACAACCTTCTTACCGCCCCCCCGCCCCAACTCCTGTATTAGGAGAGATGAGGAGTGAAGTCAGGCTTTAAAACAAGTTACATTTCCGGCTCATGCTGCATGCCCGTCTGTCATGGGCGGGCTCCAGGCTCTGCTCTGCGTTGTCCTCTTTCCGGGACCCAGGCTAAGGGAGCAGCTGCCATCTGGAGCATTGCTAGTCACAGTGGCAGAAGGGTAGCAGGGGGGAGGTAATAAATCACATATCGGCTCTTAAATCTTTCAAAGGAAATGAAATAGGGCACTGCAACCCACACTTCCTTGGCCAGAGCTAGGCATGTGGCCATACCTAACTTCACAGAGGGCGGGGAAGTGCAGTCCTACCCAGTGCCTGGGGAGCGATGAGCCAGAATTACCTGCTGGATTGAGTAAATGACTGCTAGCACAGTGAATTTTCAGTGAAAGTTCATTCATTCATTGGACATGTGTGCAAGCTCTTTGCGGCAAGCACTGTGTGCTGGAAGATGTATGAAGCTCCTGTTCTCATGATCAGTTCTTTGGCAGTGCTCCTCCCTCCCAGGCCGGGTCGGTCAGTTCTCCATCTGGAGGCAGGCGCAAAACAAATAGGCACTTGCGTTTTTCAGCGATAGCCTTTCGTGCCACCCTCAAAGATAAGCCTTTCTCCCTATCGCTCAAGTGAGATATACCGTTACAGAACTATAACTATTCTTGGTATTTTTAGGGGGGTTCATGTTTTTCTAGAAGGAATAGCTTGTCGTCTGTCGAGTAACCGCAGTGATAGTGCACATTTGGTAATCAGAGCCTCTTCTTCAGAAAGCTACGTGGTCAATTCCTCCAAGTTTAAGGCCAGGAACTAGTGCGAAAAATCTAGTTATAAAATATAAAGCTGGCATTATCCAAAGGATATAAAACAAACAAAAAGCATGCATAGAAAAATACTATGAGGAAATACATGGGAGGGGCCCCCAAAAAACCCTGGAATTTATTTATAAAAAATTGTGTATTTATTTTTACATGTTTAAACGTCAGTCACCTTCAAAGTACTCTCTATTTGATGCAGTACATTTATTAAGACATTTTTTCCACTGCTCAAAATATTTATTTGAGCATCGGGATTTTGAGGCCTTTTAGTGCTTCTGCTACTTTTTGTTTCACCTCTTCCACATTGGTAAATGTTTTTCTTTGAGGACTTTTTTCATCTGGGGAAACAAAAAAAAAGTCACTTGGGGAAAGATTGGGTGAATAGGGAGGGTGGGGCATAAGGGTCATGCCATTTTTGGTCAAAAACTGTTGAACGCTCAGCATGGTGTGGGCAGATGCGCTTGTAAACCACCCATCATAAAATGGGCAAGCGTGTTGAATCTTCAAGAAATTTCTCTGAAGCCGAATACAGCCTCTCACAAAAATGCCAGCTGGTGCACTGGTAGAGGGGTTCCTAGAACACTCACCTACTAGGGGAAGTGGTACAAGGGGCCTGCCCTCCAGAAGACAATTCTGGGTTTTGGGGGGTTCCCCCATATACTGCCAAAAATAGTAAGGGATTATGGATTTTTAAAATTTGCTTTTATATATCTTCTTATATTTTCTATATAAAAGTAATAAGCATATCATGCTTTGTAATGTGAACGACAATAATCAGTTATTCTTTCCAAATGAGGCAGTGTACCTAAAACTTGACCTTGTTTCAAAATCATCTAGAGGTCTTGTAAAAACACAGATTGCTGGACTTCCCACACATTCTGTTTCCAGAGGTCCTTGGTGGGGCCTGAGAATCTGCATTTTGACCACGTTTCAAGGTGAAATCAATGCTGCTAGTCTGGGGGCCCTACTTTTGGGGGACCATTGCTGTCATGGTGAAAAATGCCAGTTATGGAATCCGCTAACCTTGCTTCTAAATACTGGTTCTTAACACACCCTGTGTGACCTTGGAAAGATACTTAGCCTCTCCTAGCCCACTTCCCTCTTCCATAAAATCAGTCCTAAGAGGCACATTCTCTTCACCTTTTCACCTCTCCGAAATCAGAAGGTCATTACAACGGTGGGCGTGACAAAGCTCGAATGGACACATTTTTCCTTCTCTGGGGCAACGCAAATATAGTGCATTTTACAACGATGGTGTCTCAGACGTGCTGAAATGTGATTTCAGAAGGTGATGTATATAACGTACTTTGCGTAGTGTCTAGCCCAACATAAGTCATCGTAATAAATGGTCATTGAGTTTAACTATTATCAAAAGAACAACAGAATTGTATGGTAAGGCTCAGGGAGCAGCTGGCAGTGTGGAAATGGAACCGAAATTGAGATGGATTTCCTCTTTCCCCTTTCCCCTCCAGGCAGACTTCAGAGACGGTAAATTACCGTGCTGCCCCGGCCAGTCTTCCCCGCTGATTCCCACAGTGACCCTGAGGCCTTTGACCGAGACCATCTCCACAGTGCAGACCATCTACACCGCTCGGAAGCCCGTTTCCCTGGCAGCCAGGTGAGGCGGGGACACCAGGTGCAGGCTGAGGTTCACTGTGTGCGTGATGTCTACAACACTCTCATTCATTCTTTCATTCCTTCATTCCGTATTTACTGAAATGTTTTCAAAGTCCAGACAGTACCCTAGGTGCTCGAGATGGACAGTGAACAAAACAGACGAAAGTCCTACCTTTATGAAGTTTACAGTTTAGTATCGGGAGAAAGGAGACAGACATTGAATGAGTGTGTGTGTGTGTGTGTGTGTGTGTGTGTGTGTGTGACCAGTGGAGACAGATTCCACAGAGAGGCAACTGGGCCTGAGGCCAAGGAGTCAGAAGTAATCTTTTAAAGCAGCCAATTTTAATTTAACTCTATTTATTAAAACAGTAGGAGGGCCCTGGCCAGGTGGCTCACCTAGCTGTGCATCTCATTCACCAAAAGGCTGCAGGTTTCGTCCCCAGTCTGGGCACACACAGGAGGCAACCGATTGATGTTTCTTTCTCTTCCTAAGGTCAATGAAAACATGTCCTCGGGTGAGGATAAAAGAAAGAAAACATAGAAGGGAATTCCAGGATAAAGTGCATCTGAGACCAGTTGAAAGTGTGATTTAAAGAAATTGAACCTCTAGACATCTTCCCAATCACACTCAAAAGGCCTTTCCTGAGAGGGCCCTAGGCACCGGCTCCTGTGCTGGGCTCTAGGAGTTCAGAGGTGAATGACATCTATGCAGTCTGGCCCCTGAGGGGTGGTGCCTGGAGGAGCTCCCAGTCTGGTGGGGGAAGCCATTAGGTACGCAGGTGACTTCAGGTCATTGAAATGCAAGCCAGTGTAGGGGGTGCGTGAGGAGCTTCACAGAGAAAGTCAAGAACTGCAGTCGAGAAAGAATCTTGGAGACAGCTTCAGCCGAATTGCTCTTGTGATTTTTGAGGGTTTAGCTCACTATTTTGTCACCTCCTCTTTTTCAGTGCAGAGACGCTCCGGCAGGAACTGGAGAGAGAGAAAATGATGAAAAGACTGTTGATGACCGAACTGTGAATTCTCCCCTGGTTGCCCGGAGGATGGCATGGTGCCTTCTGTCATTTTCTTTCTTCGGGTTTTGTGGGCTCACTCTGGCACAACCTGCTGATGTGTGCTCTATCCGCCCAGGTCTCCGTGGTAGCTGCAGCCAACATCTGGCTTGACTTCTATTGGAAAAGTTATTTTATGTCTCCTGAGTATTAGAGTTTTTCTACTACTCAATATAGTTGAGACAGGATTGGTCAGCCTTGGAGAAAAAAAATGGAAAAATGTGGATTCCTTTTCAGAAGTACCTGTGTGTATACATCAATAACCACAGGGGTGATTAAGGAGCAGAATCCTTTGCTATCGATCTCAACCATGTGATTTTTGTATGGTTGAAACTTACACCAAGCTTTGACTGTTTGTTAAAGTCATTTTTAATGAGAGAATAATTCTTTTTGCTGGTTTTTCATTTACACTAGTAAATACACAGATCTTTTAAAGTCTTTAACGTTCATTTTTATTCAGACACAAGCTAAAAAGGAAAGTTGCATTCACCAGGACTTAAGGTATTTCAGCTTAATCTGAAACATCACTTCACTTGTGACTTCGTTAGATATGATATTACTTGGGATACATATAATTTATCCTGAAACCCAAAGCAGGAAATTACAGCTTAAATTCTAAAAATCCTTACAAGGTTAAGGTGATTCAGTGTCAAGCTTCATTTGGGTGTTCCATAAAGGAAAATCATTTCTAAAGTTGATCCGTTCCGATCCTGTTGATAGGACCTTGATCAGAAGAAACTCGACTCTCTTTTTATAAGTTTCAGGAACTGTGTTTTTAACTTTTTATTATGCACTTGAACAACTTTGCAGGAGTAAAGGAACCCCCAAACCACAAACTAGCCCTCCGGGTTGTTTCCCAAGCTTTCTCAATACACATGCGTACCATTTTACACAGGTATGACCGGTGTGTACATACTGTCTGGTTGTACTCTTCCACCTAACACATGGCTTCTCTTTTTGACACAGAGCCTGCTCTCACCCATTTAAATGTCTTTGTGTCCATATAACATGGCTAACCTCACTTCTTCCCATTATTAGACATTTGAGATATATCCAGTTTTTCATTCTTATAAATAGTGCTGCTATGAATGTCTTTGTAAAAAAATATATATATCCTTCCTTTGGATTCTTCCCTTGGGAATGTCTCCAAAGAGGGGATTACCAGGTCAAAGAGCATGAAGTATTGTATAGCTCTTGCTTTATATTGCCAGATTGCTTTCTAGAAAGATCCAATCTCTGGGTTGGAAGGACCTTAAAGGTTACCTAGTTCAACCCGCCCCCCTCCAACCCCCTCCGAATGCTTGAATTCCCTTCTACAATTTATGATGCCACCAGCAATGTATAAGCATTTCTATTTACCAATAGTTCTGCCAATATTGGGTTTTGCCGTTTTTATTTATTTTTTGCTACTTTAATAGATGTGTATTGTTGTTCTTGAAATGTTGTTTTATTTCATTAATTGCTAGCAAGGCTGAGTACTTTTCCATGTGATGATTTACTAGCTGTATTTCCTCATGTGTAAAATGTCCATCCATTTCTTGAGACCACTCATTAAGTGGAATTGATCTCATATATTTGTATTAGAATTGTATTTTTATGTTGTATTATTGTATAGTTTGCTCTCCTGTCCCTGTACTTAAAACTGAATGGTGCCAATAATTTCATACTAATGATTATTTAAAAAGAACAATGCCTCGTTTACTACCATTGTTGTAGAATGAGGTATGTAAGCAAATATTCCGATAACAGAGGATTAGCCCTGGAAGTGCTGAATCTTTAAAATATTAATATTTTTTGAGGGAAATCTTTCTAAAATGTATTACACACTTCCCTGCCTTAGTAAACAGAGTACACTGGAGAGTATTTAAGCTTTTCTTGATGAGTCATGGCCATCACTGTAAACATCAGCCCCTTTGGTACCTTGCTGTGGTGCAGTAACGTCATCAGAAGCTAACAAAATGTGCGGGGCTTGGCTTTGCCTTTCACAGACTATTGTGCTGTTCTCATTGATGGCTTTTACTGCTGTCTGCTCCTCCGGTGAAGCCACTGGGGGTAATTGGGGTATTTGGGACCTTTTAACCCCCATACTACATGACCCCTGGCTGTACTTTTAAAACAGCTTTGCAGTCTTATGCACACATGATGCAAAATGTGGTCTTGTACATTTTGGGGGAGCTATCTGTGTCTGGGCTCATTGCCTCCTGCCAACCCAGCACCCCCCCTCCTCCTCTCCTAACTGCTTTCTGACTCTTTTGCTCTTCACCTGCTGCTCTCTAATGGAAACCTTTCAGGCAAAATGGAAGTTTTCTTGCAGAAGCCAGGAACCCCCGTGTTCCAGGGTGTCAGGAGGGCTCTGCTTCTGAGGAGGGATGCATGGGCTTTTTGGCTGCTGTGTTAGGGGGCTCTTGGCCTCCTGCTTCTCCCCACATCCCCCTAGGTCCACAGATGTACAGAAGGTGGATGTCACTGGAAGTCTGATCACAAAGCAGTTGGCTAATACTGTGTATGAAAACCCAGTACCTTTGGCAGCTCAACACTAACCAGTAAAATCAAGAGGATTCCATTGTTTCAGCAGTTGTCCTGGTTATTTTGCCTACATTAATGTATAATGGGTGCTTGGCATGGTAAGCTGAGCAGATGACCTTGGGTTGGGTGGATGTATTGGGATACAAGTGAATTGGTACAACCGCTCCATCTTTGTTATAAACTGAAAACCGAAATAATAGCACTGCCAGGTTACACAACACACATCTTATGTTGGGGGGTGGGGGGAAGATCAGCTTGCTGACATAATCATTGCAAAGCAAGGGCCCCAAAGTGTGGACCCCAGACTCCTGGTGGACATGGGGTTAGTGCCAGGGGCCTGGGATGCCGGTGACCCACCGGGTGGGTGGACTGTGGACCTCGTAGGAGATTCTTATGTTTGAAGAGTTTTAAAACTATGTCCTGGAGCATGCGGAGGATCGCGCCTGCATGCAACCCAGATTTTGTATTTCCCAAACCTGATATCCTTATCTTTATATTTCTTTCACCATCTCAAAAGTCACTACTTTTGAAAAACTCAAAATTCACCATTACCACTTTAAAGTATATAATTCATAGGTTTTTAGTATTGGCAGTGCTGTGCCAACATCCCCATTAATTCCAGAACATTCCAAAAGGGAATCCCACATCTAGAGTCACTACCAGCTCTCCCCTTTCCCGGCCCCCAGCAACCACAAATTTACTTGCTGGTTCTGATTTACGTCTCTGGATTCGCCTATTCTGCGCACTTCCTGTAGGTGGAATTGTACACTATGTGGTCCCCTGTGTCTGGCTCCTTTCACTTAACATAATGTGTTCAAGGTTCACCCATCTTGCAGCACAGATGAGCACTTCATTCCTTCTCATGGCTGAATAACATGCCACTGTGCAGACAGAACACATGTTGTTTATCCATTCATCAGTTGATGGACATTTGGGTTGCTTCCACTTTGGGGCTGTTCTGAGCAATAGAAACATTTGTGTATAAGTTTTTTGGTGAACATATATTTTCAGTTCTCTTGGGTGTATACCTGATATTGGAATAGTTTGGTCATATGGGGACATTTTATTTAACTTTTTGAGAAGCTGCCGAGATCACAGCTTTTATTTCTTAAACAATTGAGACTGAAAAAAATATCACAGCTATTACTACACAGTGAGTATGTGGGCAGATCTCTTACTGGTCACTTCTCACTTATAGGTGAGGAGCAGCACTAATTTGGGGCAGTTTTTATAACAGAAAAAAAAGTTGTTGTAGAGAAATGGCTGTGATGAGAAGAGAAAATAAAGGTGGTTTCTTTTAAAAATGAAAAAGAACTCAGGTTTATCTCTATGTTCTGGCTTGACTAGCTGCCTCTTGTACAGCCAGTAGTCTCAGGATATTCAGGGAAGTTCCCGCCCCCACCACAAAATGTGCACATAAGAAGAAGAAAGCAGAGTATTTCTTGGCCACTCAGTAGACTCCCATCACTGAGGAGCAGAGAGTCTCTGTAAAACCTGCAATGTAACTAAGCTCAAATAGTAGAAGAAAAGATAGAGAATTAGAAAATCCCCAAAGGCAGTTTAAGTGGGTAGGAGAACCTTTCCAAGAGAAGCAGCCAAGTTGATACAGAACGGAAACCAGAGCAGGCCCTGGGAGAGGCATGAAGACTGAGTGACCCATGAGAGCTGAGGTGTTCTCCCCAGAAAATACCACACACTGCAACATTGTTCCCGCACATTCTCAGGGTCTTCACATCGCCCCCGAAGCCCATGTGTGGCCCCCTGGGAGTCTATGGACCCCGGGCCCTTCAATGTGGGGACATCACTGAGTCCACAGATGACTGGCAAGCCTTATTTCAGGCCACAAGTACAAATGCTCTTCCAACACCATCTTCCTCATCCTCTGCAAAACCCGCCCCCCCCCAAAGAAAAACCACATGGTTCTATCAGATCAATTTACCAAAAGAATAACCTGGTTTTCTTTTACTTTCTTTCTGGCATCCTCGCTGTTAATTGTAGTAACTGAAATCAAGGGAATAAAAAGGTAATAGAATCAACACTGAAATCAGAAACGTGGTATTTCCTTTTACTTCTCTCTCTCTCTTTTTTGCTAAATATTGGTCTATCTAAAACTGACCATATCTTTTCTGGTGAACAGAAAAAAAGGAAGACATTTCTATTTTTAAGAAGGAGAGTTCGGGTTTTTCTTTTTAGGATTATGTGTTAATAGATTTTCAATCAATTGGTTTTTCAGTATTTTAGAATTTTACACATTGCAAAGCTCTTTGGGGGGAGAAATCTCTTTGCCTGATTTTTGTAAGTAGTTGTAGTTCATCTAACCTTTTTAAAGCAATAAATCTGATTTCTTGCAACTCTTCTCATACTGGGAGCTCTCACGAAGCCTAAGGTTTTTAGGAACTGCACCTGGTCCATCCTCCAGGGTAGACACACTTCGGCTCTCACTGCAAGCCCACTGTCCGTGTCTGCTGACACCTAACAGCGAACACGTGGTCTCTGGATCCCGTGGTACTTTTCACTATTTCTACCACCGGACTGTCTCCCATCTCCCCTGGGCCAAGACAGGTTGAGATCACTAGTTTTGTTTTGTTTTTTGAATGTTTATATTTCATAATCTTACATATTCATTCAGGCTATTTGTATCACTGAACCCTATTGATTCTTACCTATATCACCTTATTCCATCTTTATGGCCATCATAGAAGTTACTGATCACCACTCCACCCCAACTGACTTCTGGGTCTGCATTTGGAGCCTCTATGTCTTTCTGCCTTCATAATTATTTTATTCACGAAAATATATTTTTAAAAAAACTAGAAAAGGCAGGCAAAAATGCTGACTCTGCAACACCAGCATAAAAGGAATTGTGTCCATGTTTTCTACACAAAAACAGCTTAGCAGTTTGAAATGTGTTATTGCTCCAAAAGCACCATTAGGGAAGACGTGGCCTGTGGTTAAGGCTTGGTGTGAATAAAGGGATGGCTGAGTAGACAGTCAAAGTGACTTGCACGTGGCGGTGGGAACAGATCTGAGAAAGCTGAGAATTCAGCCTGGCCATCGGGCCTGGTATAAACTTGCCAGGGCCTGCGCGTGTTTGCTGCGGGGACACTGAGTAAACCAGCCGCCTAGTTCTGAAGGAAGCAAGTTATGCAAAAGCACCGGCAGCCTCTGCTGGTGACACACTCCGAAAGTCTGGAGAGGAAGCAGGTGTACCCAGCCCGGGGAGATGGGCTGTAGTTCCCCTCTGGCTCTAAGCACCTCAGGTTACATACAGTGAGGATCCTCCTATTTCGTCTTCCTTCTGTGATGACCCCAAGACAGAATGGGTATAGGAAGTGCTTTGTATGCATCAAAAAGTTCTTGAACAAGGTGGGGGAGGCGGCAATTCTGACAAGGTGTGTCCAAGGAGCTCTTCTTCTTGAACCTGAACGTGCATTAGGGTCTTTGGGGGGTCTTGGTCAAATGCAGATCATGATTCATGCATCTGCAGTGAGGCGAGGATGCTAGCAAGGTATCTGGGGACTCCGATGCTGCTGACTTGAGGACACATTCTGAGTAGCAAGGCTAGAAGGGACACACTGTGTCTGTGGGAGACGCGATGGAGAGGCTGGGCGAAAGGACAGAGGAAGCTAAGAAGGAGAAAGCTTGGCGATGAGGAAAAGATGTTAGAAAAAGGGGGAGGCTTCAAGGCCCAAGCGAGGATGCGCAGACCAAGGCCAGGCGGCGGGTGCAGGCGGCTTCGCGGCTGCGCGGGCTGCGGGCGGGGGACGGACTGGCGCGTGCTGGTGGCGGCGGAGGTGGCGAAGTCCGGGCCCCGCGCCAGTGGCGCCCCCGCTGCGCCCAGTGGCCCGGCTGTGGGTTAGGTGCGCAGCGATGGCGCGGCCGCTCCGGCAGAGCCCGGGGGCCTGGCTGCCGCTGCTCTCGCTGCTGCTGCTCGGTCCCGTCGCCTGCGCCGCCAGCCCCGCGGACGACGGCGCGGGACCGGGGGGCCGAGGACCCCGGGGCCGCGCGCGGGGGGACGCGGGCGCAGACGAGGTGGTGCCGCGCCACGACTCCTCCTACGGCACGTTCGCGGCGGAGTTCTACGACCTGCGCTACCTGTCGGAGGAAGGTGAGGCTGCGGGAGGGTAAAGGGTTTCGGAACCGGAGACTCGGGGTGGGGGGCAGGGGTGGTGGCAGGAGCGGAAGCGAGGGTGGAATGTTGGTTAAGGATGCGAACGGAAGCAGCCCTGGCATAGCCGAGGCCGGGACGGAGAGCGCAGGGCTCAGACCCCGGTCCACCTGGGGACGGGCCTCGAAGAGCGGTCCGCGCTTTCCTCCCGCGGTCTGCTTTGCAGATGGGGAGACTGAGGCTGGGAGAGGTAGGTGGTCGGCCAAGTCCTGCGAAGCTGCGGACAGGTGGGGCACCCCGTGATCTGGCTTCCATATCTCTGTCAGGGGTTAGGGGTGGGGGTGGGGGTGTTAGGGGAGGAAGCCGCCGTTGGTCTGGGGTGTGTGAGATCAGAGCAGTCGGTGGAAAGCAGAAATACGAATTAAAGAAAGATGTTGCCTTATTTCCTCCCTGTGTGTATTGACCCAGATTTGCAACGGCACTAAGCTCCCTAACCTCTTAGTGTTCTGCCGCCGGAGCTGGGTCGCGCGCGTCTCCTTCCCTGCCTCCGTTCCACTTCTTTTCTGTCATCGTGAATGGTATGGTCCCCTGGTGTGAGCCACCGTTGTTGGGGCCTGCTGAGCCCAGAGACTGGGGGCTTGTCAGCCACAGACCTCCGGTGGAGATGCTTCAGTGAGCACAAAAGCCAAGCTGGTTCTATTCAGAAAAACGGAAACTGGCCTCTTTTTTTCCCTGCAGTTTGGAAAGTAGTGATTTTCTTTCTCTTCTGCTAAGAGGAATAGTTTTTTAAAAATGAAATCTAGAAATAGCAGCCCAGAACTGATCATCAGAGACACTGAATCCTGATCTCTGCTTCTTTACAATTCTTAGGCTGTAACTTCATGACCCCAAAATGGCTGCTTGACCTCCTGCCATTACATTCACTTTCCAGACAGTAGGAAAGAGAAAATGGGAAGAAGTAGGTCACTGACTATAAGGAGATTACTCAGAAGTCCCATATAACAATTCTACTTATACTTAACTTAGTCATGTGATCACTCACGGGTGCAAAGGAGGCTGGGAAATGTAGCCTTTCCATTGAGAAGTAATATCCCCAATTAAAAAATTGGAATTATTGTGTTAAGGAAGATGGAGAGAAGAGATTTAGGGAAATACATTAGTTGGGTAGAAGCTTAACTGCTGAAACAGAGATCTCAATATACAGTGGCTTAAATAAGATAGTTTTTCTCTCACATGAGTCTGGCTGGTCTGGGCTGGGGGGGGGTCAGTTCTGCTCCACAAGGTCATTCAGGGACCTAGGTTCCTTCTATCTCATTGCTCCACCATCTCCTAAGGCTTTGTCCTCATCTGTATGGAATTTGAGTTGCTTGCATGTTCTTGCTTAAGCTTGAGGAAAGGAGAAAGAAAGGAAGCCCTTTCCTTTTAGGCTAGTTGCACAGATCGCTGCTGCTCACATTCTTTTGGCAAGAATGTAATTGTATGACCTAGCTGCAAGGGAGGCTGGGAAATGTAGTCTTCAACCTGAGCAACCATGTGGCCAGGAAGAAGGAAAGAATGTATGGAGGGAGTGTGGGAGGACAACGAGCAGAAGAATCTGTTATTCTGGAAAATAATAAATATTCCAAAGTCCATCTGCTTCTGAAAACATCTGATACATATTTATTTTCTTTGTAGTCAGCCTAATACACTGCCGGGTAACTCAGCTGTGCCACGTAAGAGTTTATATCCTCATTGGGCACATGGACCTAAAAAATGAAGCACGAGGCCAGATGCTCTGTGTCACTTTGCACCTGTGGAGGGAATGAAGTGAGTTGTGTAGTCCAGACGGTTTTATGAACACGGACATCAGGTGGGCTGCAGCCATGGGAAGGCTCTATAGAGTTACCTGAGAAGTGTGAAAGACCTTGCTGGGACAGAAGAGGGAGGACATTTAGGTGAGGTGGCTGTGCAGGGGCAGCAGAGCCTGTGATGTACATACAGATCCCCAGGTTGTGTGCTTGCCCCTCTTTCCCATTCTGCAGGTACAGCCTGAAGCCTGGCCTTGATCCTCAAAAAAAACCCTCCACCTGCTCCCTGGATGGAGCTTCAACTTGTTCATCTAGAATTTCCTCTCTGGCCCCACTTCCTTTCACAGCCCTTCCTCACTCTGCTGCTTCTCTCACCCCGAGCTTTCACTATCCGTCCTTCTACTCTTCTTGCTGACCACCTCACTCATCTTCACATGCCAACCCTACCACCGTCTGGTGGGTGCTAGTGCGGTGTTTGTAGGGTGCACCTCTCCAGGGGCAGTACTCCGCTAGATTATCCTGGGCCTGGGCTTTAGCCCTGTGGGTCTTGAATAAAGACTTTCCCAAGATCCTTAGAAATAATTAGTGACACCACCACCTTCAAAAGGGACTGCCAAACAGGGAGAAGCAGAGCCAGGAAATGTCCTAGAGGGTGTCCCCGCCATTAGGTGCAGGGAAGAAGGGTGTCAGGAAACAGAGCCCCGTGCCCTGGGGAAGCCCAGCGGCGTGAAGACTCCGAGCAGTGGGTGGATTCAGGGACTGAGAGGAAGTGGGCAGAGCTTCCTGGGGTGGATTCAGTGACGGAAGGAGGGAGCCTGGGTGATTTGCTGGAAGTAACAAGTGAAGAGGTGGAAGTAGTAGAAGTGGTACCTTTCAACTATTCTATCTGCACAAACAGGGTTGTCTTTTTGTAGGGATTGGGCTACTTAAGTTTTCTACACAGGGTACCTTCTTCTGAGGGTCAAAGTAGCCAGGAAACTGAGTGTTTAATGAAAAGATAGCTTAGTATTAGGAAATTGGCAAAAGGGAATTGGATAATGGGGGTGGGAATGGAGAATTCACTGAATCTGTGGGCGAGCCCAGTGACCATTACCCACCCTCCAGGTGCCATTTGTGCCGTGTGTCCAGATTGCCCGAGAAGCCCAAAGCCAGAGACTGGACACTGGCTCATTTGGTGTCTCTAATCACCTCCTGTGTTCACTTTTTTAAATTAAATTATTTTGGGGTTTAACTATGTTAGTTTCAGAATTCTTAGGGGTTCCCACTACCTTTGTCTCTGCTGCTCATTCCTACAGTCCCAGCTCAAACGTCACCTCTCTCAGGGAGCTTCCCTAATTTTCTCCCTTGTCCAGGCCCTGCCACTAGGCAAGGACGTTGACCCGCAGCCCTTTATTGAGCCCGCCATGGCCCTTAGTGCTGTCCAGGCTCCTGAGTGTGAATAATGTCTTGATGCTCGAATCCTACCACTCTCATACCTCTTCAGTTTGAAGTTCTTGTCCCAGAATCTATATAGTATTAGAGCAACAGTAGAACGCGGAACAGATTACTGCACGGTTATGGGTAAAGGGCCTATTCTGAGGGTGCTGTGGAAGAGAAACAGAGCTGCGTGTTGGCATAAGGGGAGTCCCATGTGAAGCCCCCTGCTCGCCTCTCTTTGCTGCTGAGCCCCCCAGGCCAGATCCCAGGAACAGACCCTGGAACGGACCCTGAGTCTGGCCACAGGCAGCCCAGTCCACGAAGCTCTGACCATCAAGTGCCAACCAGGACTTCCCCTACCTTGGCAAAGAGCTAATGTGGCAGCAGAGAGAAGAAAAGAGCTTAAGTGCTTAGTATGTTCTGGGCACTGTGCTTAGTGCCTTCTACGTACTAATTTTAATCTTTACAGCAATACTCGGACGTAGGTACTGTTATTATCTTCAGTTTAGAGTTAAGAAAACTGACCCATAGAAAATTTAAATATCTCAGCTAAAGGCACAGAGCGGGAAGACAGCAGAGAGCTGCGTGGGTTGTTGATCGACTTTATGGATGAGGAGAGGGTCCCTGTGGACGAGCACTAGGAAATGCAGTGGGGCGGGCAGCATGGAGTATTTTTTTATGAGTGAACTTGAGCAGAGGGATTGGAATTGGTAGGCAGGTGGTTAAGAATCGCGGGTTCCTGAGCGGAGGAGTGTGTGGAGGAAAACTTGCTGACCAGGCTCCGTGTGTGTGCGGAGCTTTGAATTTCCCCGAGTCCTATGACATTTTCACTTTGGTATATGACTCCGATGAGTAGAAACGACAACTCAGGCAGTCCAGACAGAGAATGAGGCCGATGCAGTAGCTCTCAGAGATTGGAACGGATCATTTCTGGTTAAAATATCAAGGAATCAAGTCCTAAATTAATACCTGAGGGCTATGATCCAAGCAGTTAATTAGAGACAATAAATAGCAAACGAGAAGCCATTAACCACCCAGTGGAGTATGGCAAAACAGGCCCATGGGATTGCAAGAAGGGAACAGATAGTATCTGTGAATAAGACAGGGATGGAAACCACGAAACCATACTGAGAACCTGGAAAAAATCAGCCAAGAAAGTAAGTACCTCTCATGGTATAGAAATACCCAAAAGGAGAAAAAGTAGCTTAATTGTTCTCACAACAGAATAGTTGTTGGAAGGGTTTTCAGGGCACATGTGAGAAGGAGGAGAGAGAAAGAAGGAGGAAAAAAATTAGCCCTAAACTAATATTATTTGGTCTCAGCAAGTTTCGATTTTAGAGAAAAGGAAGAAAAGGGCACCAAAAATGGAGGGAAAGGAACAAAGAAAAGCAAACAAACAGATAAAATTGAAAAATCAGTAATGAAAAATGGGGAATGACAAAATAAGGGGAGGAGGAGCTGGCCACATCTTGGGGGTCTAACCCAGGGGCCCCCAGACTCTGGGCCACAGACAAGTACCAGTCCAGGCCTGTTAGGAATCAGGCTGCACAGCAAGAGGTGCCCTTGAATGAAATGCACTTGAATCACCCTGAAACCCTTCCCCCCACACCAGTATCCATGGAAAATTTGTGTCCCACAAAACTAGCCCCTGATGCCAAAAAGGTTGGGGACCGTTAGTCTAACCCATATGTCTCAAGACCAGGGAATACAACAAGTAAGTGTAGGAAAGAGAGAATGGAGGGGCAAGGGAAGATCAATAAAGGTCTTTTAAATGGTGTTGTGACAAGGTCAGGTTCC